AAAAGTGCGTTCTTTAAAAACAAAGTGAGGTTCCTGGGTCATGATATTGACGCTAAGGGGATTCATGCTAATCACGACAAAATTGAAGCAATAATTAATATGCCAGAACCAAAATCAGCTGCTGAATTATCAACATTTCTGGGAATGGCTGGCTACTATAGAAAATTTTTGAACAATTTTGCGGAAATTGCCGATCCTCTTTATAAGATTGTCAACAAAGAAAAATGGGCTTGGAACCTAGAACACTCTAAAGGTTTTAATGATCTAAAGAAGTTAATTAGTCTTCCACCTGCTTTGACATATTTTAACCCTGAATTACCTATAGGGATAGCCACTGACGCATCAAAATGTGGTTTAGGAGCTGTACTATTTCATATTGAAAAAGATGGTAAAGAAAAACCTATAGCTTTCGCGTCGAGAACTTTATTAAAGTCTGAAATGAACTATACCAATATTGAGCGTGAGGCTCTCGCTATAATGTTCGCTATAAAGAGATTTCAGGAATATTTAATCGGCACAAAATTTACAATTATTACTGACCATAAGCCTCTAGTTCACATCTTCACCAAGGGTCTTAAGGATAATAGCACCATGTCGTTAAGACTCCAGAAGTGGAATATTACATTAGGAGGATATGATTTTAATATAAAGTATAAAGCCGGTAAATATAATGTTGTTCCTGATTGCCTTTCAAGATTACCACAAGAATGTCGTGATGAAACTATTGAAGATGTAACCATAATAAATGAATATGAGGATTTACCTATTAACTTTGATCAAATTCGTGATGAAACTTTGAAAGATACGGAATTAAAACAAGTCATAAATGATATTAATAACAACAGACCTATAATGAATAATATTTATAAAAACATTGAATTGGAATTAAGTATAATTAAGGATTGTCTTTACAAAAGCAATAAAATCATAATTCCGTCTTCTATGAGAAAAACTATACTGCAGTCATTACATGAAGGTCACTTGGGAGCAGGAAAAATCAAATCCTTAGCCAAAGATTACATGTGGTAGCCTGGTATAAATAATGATATCGTTATGGAAGTAAAAAGTTGTGACGATTGTAATATATATCATGATAATCCTATAAAGATACAAAAACCATGGGTTTCGGCAACCAAACCGTTTGAAAGGATACATATAGATTATGCGGGTCCGTTTTTCACAAAAAATTGGTTGATAATAGTCGATGCCTACAGCAAATTTCCAATTATTATTCCTGTTAAAAATATTACGACTGATGTTACTTTAAAAGAAATCTTTAAAACTATTTCGCTATACGGAATACCTGAAACTATAGTTACTGATAACGGCACTAACTTTACGAGTAACGATTTTGAAAAATTTTGCAACAATTTTGGTATTAAACATGTGCTTACATCTGCTTATCACCAGCAATCCAATGGCCAGGTTGAACGCATGGTTAGAACGTTCAAAACACATATGAAAAGGAATATTAAAATAGACCCAGATATCGCACTTAGCAAATTTTTACTTAATTACAGAAATACGCGTAATGATACTACAGGAGTTACACCATCACAGAGAATGTTTAATCGAGATATTAGAATTAAATGGGACTTATTAAAACCGATGGAGGAGAAGGAGAATAAAATAAACGTTACTTTACCACGAAATAGAACTTTTAATGTAGGAGATTTTGTTTGGTATAAAATACAAGGTGACGATAAATGGTGCAAAGGTATGATCACACATAAAGAAAGTGATATGATGTTCCAAATTAAGACTGAGAAAGGTATTTTGAGGAGACATTTAGATCAAATAAGAATTAGAAACTGTTTTAACACAATTATTAACTATGACTCTAAGGATTCTTTTAAGGAGGGAAGTATGGACAAAAATATAAAAATTACTGATAATAACGATATAACACCTATCTCTAGACCTATGCGAATTAAAAAAAAAACCTGCTTATTTAAAAGACTATGTAACTTAAAATATAAAATAAATGTTAAATTGCATAAACTAAATTAAATATTAAAACGCTTATATTAAAACGCAAAAAATTAAAACGCTAAAAATATAACAATCTTATTGATTTATCATTCTTCATTTATTCTTATGATGAACTATTATTTCTTATTCGCAACTTATTTATGATAATAACAATTTCGGAAAAATGATAATAACAATTGAGTACTATCAAACAAGCTATGATTTATGGAGACAATTTACGATATGGATATCAAGCTTGTGATTAAATAAACCAACGTGCAAAATTGAATTGATCAAACCAACGATTGGGACAAGCCAACGTTATGATGATTTGTGATACAACTTGATTACCAAAACGATAAACCACTTGGACAACAAACTCTCTATGACTTCTCCGATGAAATTATCAGAAGAGGGAGAATGTTGCGTTATATACTTTTTGTTTTTGAATTCTTTTTGTTTTTGAATTTTTTATAATCTAATTTTTATTATTTATTATAATCTAATTTTTGTTATTTGTTATAATCTAATTTTATTTTATAAACGGCGTAACCTTACTTTTTTAATATTATTTTACTTTTTTGTATTTCGTTTATATTCTAATTTGGACTTATAAAAAATGTATATAATAGAAGTGTGAAATGGAAAAAATAGTATTAATAGTATTAATAAAGTTAAATATAAATAAACACCTTTTTACCTTTGTGCACATATTCATGTTACTCTACAGTAATATGACAAATTTGACAGGTAATATTGTTTTATGTGGATTAATTTGCATTTGTATTTATCTTTAGAATATGTGAAAATATTTTATGAATCATTTTAACCTGTTAAATTTTGGTAACTAATATAACCGAGCTTGAACTAGGTATAATTTTTAAATTTATCATGTTATTTCACAGATTAGACACATTGCGAAAAATATATTTTTAGTCATTTTAAAAAATATCTTAATAATTATTATTCCTCAATTATTATCTTAATAATAATAATCGTATATTTATATAAAAATTTAATATAATTTGTATATAATATATTACAATTAACAACACAAAATTGGTTTATATATTAAATAATTAAAATTTAGTCATTTAATTGCCAAAAATCGGATAAGTGCGAAAATATTTATTTTTTCAGTCCCAACGCTTCGCAATTATCCGGTTTTGTATATAAGTGTAAAATAAATATATGGAAAAATTATTTCAATAATAAACAGTTAAATAATTAGTAGAGGAATGAGTAAATAAGGCAATTTTATTTAAACATTTATAATTCAAAATTAAGCCAAAACGATTTGGAAGATCTTGTGTCAATATAAGCCTAAATTTATAAAGAATGAAAAATTTTACCCTTCTTGTTCTTTAAATTAATGCTGAAAAATACTAGTAATTTACATTTAATACTAAATTAAAATGCAATTTTAATATTAATTTACCTCAATAACCCTTGTAATCGTGATGTATAACTATTAAAAAAAATTATTCAAAAAAAAGCCATATGAAATGAAAATCATCGTGATGTGAAGACTTTAAAAAAAATTATTTAAAAAAAATCATATGAAAATAACTTAACGAAAAAAGGGCTCAATATTTATCAACACGATGAGGTTTTGCAAATGCAATAAGCATGATATAAATGTGACATGGCATCACACAAATGAAAAACTATAATTTAGATTATTTGTGTAATGTTTTTCCAGGAAAATATTTTCTATTAATTTTTTATTTCCGATAATTTCTCAAAATTTATAAATATTTTTTATTTTTCAAAAAAAGGTGAATTTTTTTTTCTTCTATTAATAATACTAGTAGATAGCCCGTCAAAAATGACTGAGAATGAGAATTTTATTTAAGAAAGATGTTACCTTTTATTTAAAAATCATATCCAATTTATATAATTTTTAAACCCCCCCCCTCCCCATTTATGTCAAGTCCAAGCAATGTCATTGAGTCCAACCCATTAGGACTAAGAGTGGAAACTATTATTTGAGTCAAAATATATTTAAATGAGCTTGTACCCAATACCAAAATTCTTTGTAAATATATTACTGGTTACATAAGACTAACATTTAACATTAAAAATTTCAAGCCAGGTCCATGCTCATAATATTTGAAAAAAATTTCCACGCGTTCAAGACCTTATAATTTATAAAAAAAATTCTTAAATCTAGCTCAACCCATAATAATTTTGAAAATTTTTTCCTAGCCCGGCCCATAATAATTTGTATAAGATATTCCCAAGTCAGGTGCAAGCAAATATTAATCTTGAGGAATATTTTTCAAGCCCAGTCCATCACATATTAAGTTTCAAAACTATTTCCCAAACCCGGAGATAGTTAAATTTCTAAATAATTTATCAACACATGAAGGGGAAATCTCGGATTTACCAATTAGTGGGTTAACTCCTTTTATCAAAAAATTTGATAAGGGCTATATATATCTTTTGTTAAGTACAAAAAAATGCTATCTATTTAAATTACAAAAATGCCATTCAATACTAATGAAACTTATATGCAATTTATTTATATATTTTTTAAGAAATTTGTTTTTCTTGCCATATAAATTTAGGTATTTTTTTTTAAAAATGATGAGGAATAATTATTACTCTGTGTGTCTGGTAAAATTAAGAGCAAATCCTTTCAGTCGTCTGCAGAAGGAAAAATTAATGTATAATATCATCCCATTTAGGGTTGTAGGTGAAAGTAATGAATAATGACGGAATACCAAAGCAGTGTACAACACCCATTGCGTCCTGATAAAGCTGAGGCCCTGGGCTACTGGTAAAAAAAGAACGCAAAATGATATTTCTGCCAAAGTGTCAGTTTTGGTATCCCCCTCTAAAAAAGAATCATGAACGACATTGTCAACTCAACCATAAAACGGTCGTAAGTATTGTTATAAAGGCCATGACAAAACTACCGCATATTTTCCCATTAATAATGTTAATGAAATTGGCCGCACTACACATTCACGTTTGAACATCTCTCTAAATATTCATGAAAGTTCCTCAGGGAATCGGATAAAGTATTATTTATGATAACTCCTAATGAGGTAAATGATAGTGGAATTAAATGCTTTTATTTGTTAAAAATTAAGCAGAGGTGGCATAGGGATTGTGGTAGTGGTGATAGAAATATCATTTGGAGGCAACTGGGTGTATAAAATAAACATATAGATATAAAACATTAGATAAAAAACAAAATAAACCTCCAGAGGAGTTCACAGTGCCTTATTATCTTGGCCACCAGTAACTCTAGAACGGGTAAGGCGGTTGTTGAATCGCCATTTTTTTCTTTGCTTATCTTTAATAAAAGATTCATCATGTTTGGTAGCAATGTGAGGGATTAGGGTTCTAGACAAATAAAGAAATCAGGCAAAAATATAAATATACTATTGTTGAAATTAAACTAACATTAAAATAATCTAAAACCGGTAGAATGGTCAATATTAGATGCATATTTCTAATAAGTTGGAGGGCTATCATCAAATAAAATTTTTGGGGGACTAATCAAGTCTATTATGATATTCTAAAAGTTAAAAAATAACATGATAAATGTAATGATCCAAGCATCCAAGATATTAATATTTAAAAAGAATATCTCAAGCCCACCTTCCTTAATAATTTTGAAATCAAGCCCAGAGATATTAAATTTATAACATAAGACTAACATTTAACATTAAAAAAATCCTAATATAGGTTCTACCCTACAATATCTGGAAAAAATATCCAAGCATCCAAGACGAACATTTAATAATAAAAATCCCAATATAGGTTAAACTGGATAAAATATCCAAGCATCCAAGATCTTAATATTTAAAAAGATTTTCTCAAGCCAACCTTCCCTAATAATTTTGAAATCAAGCCCAGAGATATTAATTTTATAAATAATGAAGAGGAAATATCTGATTTACCAATTAGTAAACAGGTAAAATATATTACTTTATAAAAAGAATAACATAAGACTAACATTTAACATGGAAAAAATATCCAAGCATCCAAGACTAACATTTAACATTAAAAAATCCCAATAAAGGTTCAAGATAAAAGCATCCAAGATCTTAATATTTAAAAAGAATTTCTCTAATCCACCTTCCCTAATAATTTTGAAACCAAGCCCATAGATATTAAATAAGACTAACATTTAACATTAAAAAATCCCAATATAGGTTCAAGCCTACAATATCTGGAAAAAATATCCAAGCATCCAAACTAACCTTTAACATTAAAAAATCCCAATATAGGTTCAAGCCTACAATATCTGGATAAAATATCCAAGCATCCAAGATATTAATATTTAAAAAGATTTTCTCAAGCCCACCTTCCCTAATAATTTAGAAATTCCCAATATAGGTTCAAGAAAAAAGCATCCAAGATCTTAATATTTAAAAAGAATTTCTCTAACCCACCTTCCCTAATAATTTTGAAACCAAGCCCAAAATTTATAATTAATGAAGAGGAAATCTCTAATTTACCAATTATTCTACAGGTAAAATATATTACTTTATAAAAATAATAACATAAGACTAACATTTAACATTAAAAAATCCCAATATAATTTTGAGAAAAATTATACTTGATAAATAAGAGAATGTTCTATTTTGTAGGTCCTGCTATCCCTAGTGCGTTTCTTTTTTTGATTGATCTGCCATCTTTTTCTTTTATTAATGACAGAATCACCACCTGTACAATCATTAACTGAGGTTAGGACATGGCTTGTTATCTAAAATAGAAACAAAAGAATAAATAAAAAAAATAAATGCATTGAACTTGATGAGGAGTCAATATACCACTTGTACAATCATTAAATATGGGTAAGACAGGGCTTGTTATCTAAAATAAAAACAAAGAATAATATAAAGAATATAAATGCAATAAACCTGAAGAGGAGTCAATATTAGGTTCAACTCCCTAGAAATAGTTGGGACATTATCAGAAACTAAAATAGATGTATTCTATAATGTAAAAGAGTATAAAAAAATATATATATAAGGCTAACTTTATTTTGAGTTGTTAGATTTTGTAGGGCCTCGCTATCCCTAGTGTGTTTCTTTTTTTGATTGATCTGCCATCTTTTTCTTTTATTAATGATGGATAAATCACCACATGTACAACCATTAACTGAGGTTAGGACATGGCTTGTTACCTAAAATAAAAACAGAAGAATAAATAAAAAAAATAAATGCATTGAACCTGATGAGGAGTCAATATACCACCTGTACAATCATTAAGTGAGGTTGGGACATGGCTTGTTATCTAAAATAAAAACAAAAGAATAAATAAAAAATAGATTAATGTATTAAACCTGAAGAGGAGTCAATATTAGGTTAACCTCTCTAGAAATAGTGGGAATATCATCCATCATAAGCTAAGTATTCTAAAATGAAAAGTATAAGCCTTTTTAGTATATATAGATGAATAATTTATTTTGCATTTGGTAGATTTTATTGGGCTTCATGTCTAAAAATATTTTCTATAAAAAAAATAAAATAAAATCAATAAAAAAATAAAAATAAGTACGTACCGATGACATGACGTAGCGATGACATGACGTAGCGATGACATGACGTAGCGATGACATGACGTAGCGATGACGTAGTGAGGACATCGGAAAATTATAATATAGATTTTATGAGATTTTTTTCCAAAGATTTAATTCCATTTTTTTAAAATTCGTTTCCCTAAGGAAATTAATATTAATACTTGTTGTATTTATTAAATTTCTAAAAAAAATTAATAATGATTCTCTATTGCTAATTTTTAATTTCACAAATATATAACTATAATCATAATGTCACATGATATTATATTAAAAAGATCAAAGATAATAAAAATGTTATATATATCTCTTATTCGAAATCAATTGACATCCATAAATGTCAATTATATATCAACAGATATAACACGCCCCCTTTCTTGAGAAATCAAACTGGGATAAAAAAATCAATTTACGTTTATATAATAAATATAATTAAAATAAATGTGTGCATAACTATTAAATGATCAAAAAGAAATATAAAAATTATTATTTATTTTCATTAAATTTTCTTTTTTCTGTTCCAGGAAGTTGCATATTTTTTCTTGATCATACATAATTTTCATTAAGCTGTTGCTGCCCATTTTTTCTTAATCATACGTAATTGCTCTGTTGTTTGTTGTGTTATAGCTTGATTTATCCAATGCATCATTGGTCGTGGGGGTGGGAATGATTCCCATGATTATATCATTGAACAACTACAAACGCATTTCCTATTCATTCACTATCAATCACCTGTCATCTTTTTTTAATTTTTCATTGTTCAATGTTGGTCACCACCAAAAATCATATGAAAATATTTTATGCCAAGCACACTATTTAAATTTCATGATCGATATAGCGTTAAGACAATCACATGCATTTTGGTCTTCTCAAAGTCCTTATCATGATATTACAGCATTAACATCTTCACATGATAATTTATATATAATTACGGGATCCTTAAATGGAGACATTATTCTTTGGTTATGCAATGAAAACTTTTCCAAGGTTTTAAAATATTTAAGCCAATAGTACAAATAATTTTTAGATCATACCTATTTTGTTTTTTCACAATCCTTCAAATGTGGGTATAAAATGTTTAGAAACTTATCAAGTTAATAACTTAAAATATTTAGTATCTTGTTGTGAAAATGGGTATAAAATTCTATTTTGATTTATTTAATTCATTTTTTGTAGTAATGTAAATCTTTATGATTATGAAAATGGGCATACAATAAATTCTGTTAATTATCCTGAAGTTAATATATCAATTAAAGTATTTACTTAAAAAAATATATAATATTTAATGTTTTTTTACTAGGCCAATAAACCTATTCATTACCCTTATTCAAATAAATCAACATTAAATACTAATTCAACATATTTATATTGTATTGGAACATATCCTGATATTAAAGTTTTGGATGCAATATCTTTATTGCAACTATTTAAATTATGCTCAAAATTTACTCCTAATTGGATAACATCCTTTTGTTTTTTACATAATACTGCCACCGAATTAGGTTATCAATCTTGCTTTATTTTAAATAGAGATGTGCTAGACCAAGCCTGGATCTTATTTATCTTGCCAGCTTTTATAAAATTTTTTAATAATACTATCTTGATTAAAATTTAATGTAAAATTTATTCACATACTTTCAACTTACCTAAAATGAAGTATTTGATTTATATTAGTTAAATAATGTTTTATTACTCATATATACATAGAATTATTTGATTTGTAAAAATATGAAGATCCATTGGGTATAATGGAAATCACAAAAATATTCACTTCTAGCCAACAACAATATCTTCATACCCATTGTGGTACTAACAAACTGCCCATTTGAAAATGAGGTTAAATCCTTAATCAAACTAATAAGCCAAAAGAGCCTTAAAACAACAATTAAAGCTTTATTCATCAAACAAAAATTCAGCTTTGAAATTTTATGATTTAATTTTAAATCATCTAAAGATTCCTCGCCATCACTAGAGGAAAATGACTATTTTTAATGTTTATTTAAAAATGTTTTTATTTAAATTTTATTTCTATATATATATGTTATTTTATACTAGTTTACACTAGGAATGTGAACCCTTTGACAAAAAAAGGGTCCAGGTTCGGGTACTGGAATAAAATTCAAAAAAGACCTGGGTCTAGGGTTTGGGTTCAGGGAACATAAAAATAATGACTCAAAAATAAAATAAAAATTTCATTCATTTATTATTATACTTCAATATATACATATTCATAATTTACAAATGTAATTTATATTTTAAATGTTTTATTCAATGCACAATCATAATATCTTCTAAAATATCATCCTTGAGACTTCCACTTAAATTAGACAATATATATTTCAAAGATGAAAATTCACATCTACCCTTACCTAAAATAGATAATTATCTTTATAAAATTATTGTATTTGTGTCGCTGGTACAGCCAGTGAAGAATTTTTTTCCAGAATTTTAGAATATTTTTATCCTTATTGATTCTCTTAACTTCTGAGAACTTTTCTATTAAAGATGCAATAGGCATTTTTTGATCCTCCTTTCTATCTGATAATTTGATTTTATTTTCTCTATCTAAAAGTAAAATTTCAAGATCATCAATGTTGCTATCATAATTATTATTATCACTACAACCAGTAGGTATTGTCATAGCCTCCAATATATTGTAAATAATGGAGTTTTACGTATACCATCCTTAAGATGGTCTTTAGCCATTTGTTTTTGCTCAATACTTAATAAAACTTGATATCGAGTATCTAAATATATAGAAACGTATGCAACACTATTTTGCAAATATTGTTGCTCTCGAATTTTAATGTTTTCTAATATTTCATATAAAAAAGACTTTAAATTTTTCTAAATCTAAACGGCATCTAATACATAAGCCATAAAAATCAAATAAACATAATTGTTCTGATTGTATTCTTAATATTGTTATTTTTAAAGAAACTAATACACTAGTAAGGTCCTTTATTTGGCACCAATCATCTTCCAGCAAAATGCTTCACTTGCTCCTATAATAAAATCTACAGAAATCTATTAAACTTAATGATCGTTCTAGCATCATACAAATTGAGGACCAATGCTTTGTGCATTATCATTTAAATTAAAATATTATTTACTTGCACTACAAAATAATTCACTTTCAAAATAATCAACGTATTTCTTTAACATAGCATATTAATAAATTTACATAATAAAATATTATTACCTGCACTAGAAAATAATTTATGATATCAATCTTTAAATAAAATGGAAGTCCAGGAAGAAAGTTGAAAGAAAAACGCGAAGATAAAATAAATGATTCCACAAAAAAAATTTATATTATTTTTTAGAAAAATATTTTTATTTTTAAAAATTTTTATGACACCTAGAACCCTTGAACCCTCTACTTTTAAAAAGGGTCCGTTCAGGTACAGCCAAAATACGAGAGTTCAGGGTATCTGAAAAAAATTGTTTGATTCAAAATTATGAATAATACTAGAGATCTGCAAAAGTAAGGCCGGGCCGGGTCGGGCCTTAAATTTTTTTAAATATATCTAAATTTATCAATTATGTTGAATTTTTTATGTAAAATAAAAATATGTGATTTTATTTATAGAAAGTAGACGCCATATAACATATACCGTTTATTTTGAGTAATTATAAAAATTAATTTCTATATTTAAATAAATTCGGGCCGGGCCGGCAAAACTTTATAAAAATAATTTATGGCGGGCCGGGCTTGAAAAATTAGGCCCGATGCAGATCACTAAATAATACAATTATACAATTCGAAAATCTACAAATCGATTGTTTTGTGAGTAATATTTAATACTTTGAATTTTTTATAACCATGCAATTATTTTTTATTTGACTATATCTAATGTCTATATTTATTCCTTTGTTAAACATTATGGTAAGTTTAATTATTTTTTTTGATAAATAAATTTATCAGTGTGCCAGGTTGTATTTTAATTTTTTTAAATATACCTGATACTGATCTGCACCTGGACTAATTTTTCCACCCTGGCTCAAAATATTTTTAAAAAAATTTGTCCGGCCTGTGTGAATTTTTTTTATTTGTCCCAAGCCTGACCCGAAATAAAAATTATTTGTCAGCTCGGCTCCAATTTATTTTATTTAAATATATAAAAATTATATATTTTTTTGATTGTATAAAAAAGTATTCTACAAATAAAAATATAGCACCTTGTTTCTTGTTGAATTTAAAAATATATCAATTTATTTGACAAAATGTAATATCATATTTAAAAATTTAAGCCCGACTGGCCATGCCCAAAATTTTTCAAAAAATATTAGGCCCGATCAAGCTCGAACCAAAATTATTTTTAAAAATACGGGTCGGGCCGTATATTTTAAAACCGAATAGTTTAAATCGCCATTTAGCTATAAAATAGTAATAAATGTAATAATGCTGGGCTGTGAATATTTAAAAAAAAAAAATTCGGCCGGGCCTGAAAATATAAAACTCGCCGGGTTGGGCCAAAAAATTTTTTTATAAAAAAATCCGGGCCGAGCTGTGCAAATGGTACGTCTGGTCTGAAATTTATTGTTTCAAAATTTTTAAAGAAATCCATTGAAATATGTTTTGTTCATGAATAAACAATTATTTGCTTCTAATAATACAAATTATCTGAATAATTCGAATATTATATGAATTTGATATGATAAATTTTAGGATTTAGAAGTCTTTATCACCATATAATCATTTTTGCTAAGGGGTTGATGTCAGGAACGGCATCCGATTGTAAAAACCTTGCTACAAAATTTCATAATGATTAAATCAGAGGGAAAACTGGCCATCCTGGGTAAACCTGGAGATCGCCACGGAGAAGATTTTATAATATTTTAGGAAAATAAATAAATTTTATTATTCGTATGATAACGAATATTAAATTATTTGTTTGATTCATTTAAACGACTCAAACACAAATAATGCATTTGATTCATATTTGTTTTTGAATAGTACTATTTAAAATTAATATTATTATATAAAAATTCTAAAAAATATAACTCATTTTTTTAAAAAAAATACTGTAAAACAAAAACATAAATAGCTATAAAAAAGATGTAACAATATTTAAATTAGTGATCTGCATCACGCCTAATTTTTAAGGCTCGGTGCAAAATTTTTTTTAAAAAAATATTTGTCCTGCCTGATCCTTAACGAATTTTTATTTATTTATCCCGAAAAGTCTATAGTAAAGTTAAAATAATTATTTCCGCCCTGCCTGAATTTATTTATTTATGAGAATCTAATGTTTTTTTTTAATTATAAAAATATTGGCGCTTAGGTTCTTACAAAAATTTTAAAATATATCTATTTATTTCACAAAATTGAATGATATCCGGGCCTGATTTTTTTAAGAAAAATAAGCCTTGCCCAAAGTCCGTTTGGACTATTTGGGCTTTGCAGATTTATAATTTAAATTACTAAAAGGGCTCAATGCTCCTTATGGAAATGCACTTTTAACAATATCTCGAAATTCTCTGTCATGGATAGTATACTTCATTAGGATTGCTCTTGTAATTAATCATGATTTTTGCCCAACAATATTTTTATATTTCCATTCTATGTATAAAAAGTTGATAAATATTTTTAAGAAAATCTGGAGTACCGTAACAGGTCTAGTTAGACAATTTCTTAAAAATATGATCTGGTGCTGGCACAGATACCAGTGAAAAAATTGGATCTAGTATATCTCTAATTTTTAAATTTTATTCAAACTAAGGTAAAATTATTTTTAAATTTGTCAATCATTAAATATATATAGAGTTAGAGGACAAATTTAACTTCATCAAAATTTATTTTTTATAATTGCTATTTATTTAATTATAATTGTTTATCTAAACTTTTATTAATTTTTTTTTCTTATACAAGGACCAAATTTATTTAAGTAAATATTATTTACAAAATAATTGATTAACTTAAATAATTTATTGATTTTATCTTCCGTATATTAAAAAATCGCCTTTTTTCGTTACTTCATTAAGGAGGGGAAGGGGAGTTTGTTGTTCATCATGTTTAATTTGAGTGCATGCGCTTAAAATATTTCCTATTTTAGCTAGGCCTTTTTTTGAGGATAGTTTGAAAGATTAGCTAATATACCATGCATATTTTAATCAAATTAGCTCAATCTTAAAATGAGCACCAAAAAAGTTCACATAAATGACAGCTCATACAATCTCCTCAGGTGAGCTATTCGTTAGTGGCATAGCATTCATACAATTCTAAAATATTTATTATCCATTTAAACTCATGCAATAAATAATATATTATTATAGCTCGGACTTTTTTTAAAAAAAAATATATAACAGATCAACTTAATTTTATTGATTTTCCATCCCGGAATATAAAATACAATAAAATTCTTTGATAATACATTTTTTTATTGTTAATATTTTGGAAGCTACGCTAGCTATACTTCATTTTTGCAATATAATTTTAACGTTTTAGTAGAAAATAAATATAGTCAACCTCATTTTTTTAATGAAACATAATTTAATACCCATATATTATACAGTTTTGCTATTGAGAAAAAAAATCATTATCTCGATTAATTAGTGCTTTTAAAAATCGGTAAATAAATTTTTTTTGGTATAATTAATGTTAACTTTAAAGCAATTTAAAGTTATCCTAATTTCTTTATCATTTAAAAATTTAACAATATTCTTTCATTTATGGGATGCAATTCTATTTTTCGGGTATTTTATTAATGTATTTTTTACAAACTAAAACCCCCTTACGAACACCTATAATATAAAAATTATAATGAACTCTAATATCCTACGATTAGTATAATAGAAGGCAGAAAATTTTAATTATTAATGATTATATTAAAATATTTAATATTTTCTTAATTATTTGCACAAAATATCAATTGATGAAGTGGCTTTATTATCATGGCGTGCTTAAGGAGTCCTATTTAGTATTTTGCTCAAGTTAAAAGTTAATACCACCGATTTCTCAATATTATGTTATTATTATATCTATTTTTTGTAAAAAAGAGGAACAAAATTTTTTTAAGATAAATAAATTCATGATTTTAAAATGATTATTATTTGAATAATATAGATGTGATCATAGGCATCAGTCTAACTGGATGCGTGAAATTATGGACCTTATCCAAAGAAAATATATCGGTTATATTAATTATTACTAAAAAAAATGTAAATTGAAACTCATTTTTTTAATCTTAGTCATCCCTCGAAAATCTATATGAAAATGAAGCCAAGTCAACAGAATTGATAAATTGTAAATGCATAACTTATTGCCACGAGAATCCTAAAATATTTTTGATGGTAACCGCTACTGTATTTCAGGTTTTCATTCATTCACGCTTTCTTTCAAATTTCAACCGATAATTTTAGTTATACAACGTGGCAACTTTTACCAAATTGTGTCACCTAGACAGTTTTTCTTCCGAAAAATGGTGCGGAGGAGTTTTCATAAACAAAAATTATATTTTGGTATGGACTGAAAATGTAAAAGCTTACATGTTTCGAATGATCCCACTCAAGTTAGAATTTATATTTCATTCATTATAAATATAGACTAGGGTTGAACCGATACCAATTTTTGGAGACCGATTCGATATTACATTGATATCGGCCGATTAACGATCCGATATCATATCTGATTTTGTATTCTGTAAACATACTAATCGTTTTAATTTTTAAAGAATTTGCAAAATCGCTCCATTTAGATTTTTAAAAACTGCTATCTCAGTATTTTATCTAGAAAAATATTACGCAAGCCTAAACATTTTATCATAGTTAAGGTTTGGACATCTATATGCGAAATCTCGAGGCTTAGGCAATATTTTACTGACTATAATATTGAGTTAACCGTTTTTAAAAATTTGCTCAAATGGAGCGATTTTGCATCACTACATACAGATTACTCATCTCATATACTTTTTAATAGTATAACATCTATAATTTAACTATACCATAACACAAGTCATTTAAATATATTATAATGATCAGTTATAGTTTATATTGAATCCAAAATCAGATCAGATCGGAAAATTTTATATGGGCCGATAACCGATTTTAAAAACATGAAATATCGACCCGATCCGATTCAATAAAAAATATCGGTGCATCCCTAATATAGATTAGATATATATAGAAATGTAGCTATTCATTTAAAAAGAAAAAAAAAATTAAATTGATTATCATTTTTTTTGTGTTTTTTAAATTAAATGTTTATTGATTTTTTAATGTCTCGTTTCGAACATAATTAGTTTCTACAAAATGTTCCGAATAGGTTTTTAAAAACATTTTTAACCGAACCATATGTATTGATTTAATTTAAATAATATAATTTTAATTACAATAAGATTACATAAAATGACAAAAATCTAGGGTGGATTTAAAATTTAATGCACAAAAGCACAAAAATAAAATAAGATTTTTTAATATCCTTCTCTAAACATTAAATTCTTTTTTGGTTATTAATGATTTTCTAATTTTTTTTGTTGTTTATATTCTCAATTTATTATAATTTAGCCCCTCAGCCGCATGATTATTATATTCTATTTCCATTTTTGCTTTAATTTGAGTTAGGGCCATTTTTTTATGTCCTCATCTATTTACTTAATAAGGAGCCAAAATATTTTTTTTTATGATTGATCGTGGAGGAGTTAGAATTCCAAATGTTATTGCACGATTATTTTATAGGAGAAATTTTTCCTCCCAAATATTGTTAATAATTTTAATTAAGAAATTTACAGCCTTAATTTTTTTTAAAATGGAATAAAGGTTTTTAATATTTTAGGATTGATTTTTAGCTATGTTAACTTATTAATTTGATGAATTCTTTTTATTATCTTAAAAGACAATTAAATAAAATTAAAAATCGCATTTTTAAACTAAAATATTATGGAAATCACTTTGGGAACAGGAAGAAGATAACTGTAAAATTACTACAATTACAATAGTTTTTTTTATATTGAGATAGTCACTCTTATACATACAATAGATATATTTTTTCTATTTAATAAATAATTATTTATGGAAAGCATGGATTTACTAGATTTGCGCTGCAATTTGGAGCTTAAGGGTATATTTGAAGTTGGGAAGAGAAAGGTAAACTTAAAATTATTTTAAATGTTTTTTAAATGCGTTTATTTATTTTAAAGATAATCGATATAAAATATTATTTTATTTTATAAAAAAAGCCATTGCTAAATCCGAAATATCTTTACAGATCAAACTTTCTTTTTTGTTCCATGGAAAACGGGTTTTTATGTTGGAATATTTACGAAATCACAAAATATCTTTTAAAATCGGAACAATTATTAAGTAAAAAACAATTTATATAAAAAAGTAATCGACGCTCTAAATCTTTGAATCATTATATACAATCAGATAAATTCTGTACACATGATTATTTTTTGGATTTTTTTTACTTTTCCCGCTTGACGATTATCAAGCGACCAAAAATTTAAAGCTTTAAAAGCAGGAGACTTTAAAATAATTCGGCTAGGTTTTTAAAATCCCAGCTGACAATAAATGTTGAAAATCTATGCGGTCTAAACCTGAAACCGGATCATTAACCCTTACTAGTAAAATCGCTTCATTTGATCCGATTTAAAAACGGCTAACTCAGTATTTTATCCAGAAAAATTTTACGCAAGGCGGAAGATTTTGCTCATAGATATAGCACAAGGGTTTGAACATCTATTAGCGAAATCTCGAAGCAATATTTTTCTGGCGAGTTAATCGTTTTTAAAATCGGCTCAAATGGAACGATTTTGCATCACTACTTACTAGTTATTATCAGCTAAAATTTTTATATATTTTAAATAAAATTACATAAACTTAAGCTCATTTACCTGCGTTTGAATATTCTCTTGAAGATTATTGGGACAGTTTGTTCAAGCCCACTAGTGAACTTTATAAAAACTTAGTACAATATATTTTCATTAACATAACTTAAAAGCTAGACAATGACGGATCTGAAAAATTTGATTGGTCGAAAAAATAAAATATCAATTTTTTTATAATAATTAATTTATAATTATAATTAAAAAAATATAACCCTGCAGCGTTCCTCTTATTGGGCATTTTTCAGACTGGTTGTCATTTATCACCAATCAGTTTAAAAATTATAAACAATATAATATAAATTTTATGGCTCAAAATAATCATTTTAGAAAAAAATATGCGATTTTGAATGTAAAATAACCTCATCGTTATATCTTCCATTTCATGATTACTATCTATACGGTACTTCGATCGGCAAAATTTTTATCCTCCAACGTGCTTCCTTGGGTATTTTAGAAAGCTTCTCCAACTATCTAAGTAAATCTGAATATTCCTATCTTTATTTTATTTATAAATACTCGTCATTATTAATTTTAAATGTCTTTTTTTATGATTCAAATTATTTTTCCCCTTTAATGTATCATCTCACATTTTAATTATTTTAAACTCATTATTTTACATATTTTAAATACCTTTTAATTTTTCAAGTAATCCTTTACAGATTTGAATTGATTTGCTTAAAGTTTGAAATTGTACTTTAGGTGACAAGTTTGAAATGATATTTCACAATCTTAAGTACTATGTATTTTAGTTTAGAACAGTGGTGAGGTGACTTCTACTTATCATTTAGGCCGGCTCAGCGACTTCTAAGCCCAAACCACTGACGATTCCCCCCCCTCTCCCGCCGAAATTTTTTACCAGCTTAAAAAATTATTACTGATATAAGATAGAGGACATCACATGCATTTTATAATAATAATTGTGAAAAGAAATATGACAATTCATAAAAATAAGACAAATAAAAAACTGAAAATAAATGAAATAAATTTATTGCAAGAAGAAATATTATATTATAGCATATAATTGAGATCACCAAGAAGATTACAAAATTAAGTGGTAAAATGTAAAATTTATTACCATATTTCATTGAGTGAGAAATAAACACATAAACACAAGGATGGAGAGGGGCCTCAATTATCTAAAAATATTTCTTATTACCTACCTCCCCACCCGAGATTTTATTGAAGGTCCTGCATCGTATTCTAGCCGTGGAAGAAGCCGCTGGGCCTGCCTAAAGGGTTTAATATTTATAGCGAGCTCAAAAAGGCCACGGCACCAGTACTTTATTATTTTGTATCACAATTATCGAAGTTGTATATTCGTAAGTTAACTATTTTATTCTTTATTAATTCTTATCCACTTTTATTACAGGTCAATTTTCTAAATGCCAATTCCTTAGTCACAAATCCAATGCTTCAATAACTTATTTGAAGTACCCTCATTCCGAAAATCCCACTTACGATTCGTCTTATTTATTATCGGCCCAACGCCATTCCACCATATGTCTCTGGGATCTAAATATATTTTCCCTGATTCACACGTTCTCTCCTCATACTTCTTCTAGCAATATTCGGGATTTAATCGTCTTACCCTTGTCTTATAACATGGTTTATTATTTTTTTTAAATTATAATCTTTATTTTTTATATTAAAATTTATCCTTTTAATTACTGCGCAATATCTTAGATGCTAGTTTGTCTAATCTTTTTTTTACAACTTTATAAAACTGAAAAACGATTAATTTTTGTAATTTGATTTACCTTATAAAAACAGACAAATTCTATAGTAGTTAAAAACAGATGATATCAAATGATTTTAAATAAAATTGACTAAATTCATCAGCACAAATACAATAATCTCATACTCTCGATCGCCGGTGACAATACCTTATCAATTCTCAACTTACTTCAAAAGTCTTGCACAACGATATCGTCACAAATGTCCTCACCCATTAATTATGTCATATGGCTCGGTTCAAAAGGTTATATCGTGATTGGTTGTTTGAATGGGGATTTATACGTTTGGCAGGATGGTAATTGTATTTTAAAATATACACCTTTTATTAACTTGTTTTGTTAGTTCATGAATCATGACCATATGATTTAATCGTTTAATTTTTTTATTTATACCCAAATATATCTTTCAATATAATTTATTTTCTAAATTTTTGAAACTATCAAAATGTTTTATATTATTTTATATAGCATAATTGTGAGTAAATATATTTTTTATTAAATGAAAATACTCATAGTCATTATAGGTTTTAAAATTTTTTCAAAATTGAATCCATATCATCGATGTAAATAAAAAGAAGAAATGCATAATTTAATTATCTAAATTACTATGTAAAATTGAAAAATGAATTTTTTGAACTACTGGCAAGATTTCTATTGCCTACTTGTTATTTATTTGATAACATCTCATTATTTTTAAAAAAATATCCTATACTATTTTCTCATTGTTTTAGAGACAATCAGACATCGAATTATTATTTTTACTTTCCCTAAGAAAAAAACGAAAGATAGATATAAAATTATAAGATATTTTTCAAAAATGGTTAAAATATAAAAAAAATTAACATCAAAATTTGAATGGCATCTTATTTAAAACACAAGGAAAAATTTATAATGCATCTATATTCTTAACTAAATAGTAAAATAAAAATATTTTACACGATACAATCAGATGGTAGCAGACACTGGGCCCAAATTTTTTGCAAATATAGGCACTTCAGGAGGCCTCAAATTATGAGAAGGGGTTCCCTAATAATTTTTAATTTTTGCAACTGGCTCCTTTGGACGGAACATTAATGTTGAAATTTAATCATCATTATGGATTCAATTTTTCTATGTTTCAAAGCAATTTATTCACCCCTAATATCAAAAACTTTTAAATTTATCTTTCTCCTCATCTCTTGAGGACATCCAACTCTTACGAATATAAAATTGGAGGCTACGAATGGCTGGAAGCCTTACAGAGCAAAAATCTGGGAAATCTCTTAACCAATGAACAACTAAAAGTGACCTTAGGATATAGACTCGGATACGACTTAGTTCAGTCTTATCATTGCATGAACTGCAACCTCCTAAAATGCCAAGAGAAGACATGACCTTTATTGCATTAAAAGTCAAGGTCGACATTAACGATACTCTTCGATAAATAAATTATTAAGCCCCCTTTAAAAAAAGGCTCGCATACCTAATATCTAGAACCTTTGCAATCTTTCAACATGACGGCCTAAGAGCAGACTTTCGCACCACTATCCTCTGGGCTATGGGTAAATCCCTTATTTGGGATTATACACGTGTCTCATCATTATAAATAGTAACTTGCTTACTCTAGCCGAGACTAAAAAATAAACAAATACAAAAGCCTCAGCAATTTCATATTTTCGACACTTACAACTCCCACCAACGGACAGTTTGTTTTTATCACCTTTGGTTTTTTTTTAAAATTTAGCTCACAAAATTAAATTACAACACTTACCTAGGGATTCTTATTCCTTGCAGAACATACAAATAAACAATTTAATTTAACAATTGTTCCCTTTTAAAAACCCAAGTATGTTTTTCTTAAAAGTACGAAAATTTTTTTATTCTTTATTTTTAAATATAGTTTCATGTAATGTTTTTTAGTTTTATACAATTATATATTTCTCATATATTAGAAACAAATTAATAAATAGTATTACTATAAATAAAATAGAATAAATAATTTGTTTCCCACGTGACCATAAATTTAAAATACTAATTGCCGAAAAGATCAAAAACCAATAAACATTTTAAATTAAATAATTTCTCGCATATACCCGAAATTAAAACTTGAAAACCGAAAGTATTGAGAATTAATAAAATCAATCCTTGCAAATAATAATTTTACTGGTGTTTTACATGAGAATTAAATTTTGAATATTTATAATTCATAATAAAAATATGTATCCACATACTTTTTTTTAAGCATAAATTATGGCGATTCCAAATAAATTTGAACATCTGGAAACCGTATTATATTATTATAATTGAAAATATTATAATTTTTATAGGTCTTTTAGATCGTTGCGTCACTGGTTTGAATTCCGAACAAATATATACCAAATTACGTGATCATATAATATGGCCATTATTCCCCAGAAATCTTATCAGGCGTAAACACATAGAAAATATTATACCTTATTTTATTCCACATCTAATGTAATGTTGTTTATTTTTAAAATTAATTTTATGTCTATTATAAAAAGGAAATAAAAGACGTTTCATTTGGAGTAACGATATAAATTATCTCTTAGAAAATCATAAAACCCAAATCTCAGCAAATAATATGATAGCCATGCATTCAAATTCACCGAAAATGTCTAACTTTGCAAAACTTACGAACCCATTACTTACACTTCTTCCAATGCACAGAACCCATCCTTATGCTCCATATCAGATAGCTTTATATGATTTAGAGTTCTTTGCAAGTTTGCTTACTACAATTTAGTTTTATTCAATTATGATAAGTTTTTCATGAAAATTTCTATTAAATATATAGCTAAATAAACACTTCTTTCGGAAACTATTTAAATAAAATGCAATAACGAATAATTTTTAAATTAATTAAAATAAGGGTTTTAAAAATATTTTTCATATTAACAATGATATCTACCTCATAAACATGGTATGAATTTTAAAATGACTCAATTGTAGCCTATAAATTTATTTTTTTAAATAATCCTGAATAAATCGGCGACATTTAAAAATGATAAGGAATTTTTTGCGGACCTCTCCCCCAGGATAAAAAAACAGAACACAAACTAGAGGAATTATCACCAGTTATCTCACCCCAATCTCCCGCTAAGCGCCCTAATAATAGCATCTTGCAAGATCAACGTAGACAAATTTACCGCCAAGCTTCCCAGAGAAATGTATACATATTAATTCTTATTATTTTAATAGGCCAAAACTCCTTATATTAGTTAATACAGAGCCAATTTTAAGAATACGATTATTGGAAATAGAAAGGCAAACGAAAGTAAGTTTTAATAATGTCCTTCTGTCAAACCCAGTATTTTTATTACTGCTTGCTATGGAAAATCCATTGCATGCTCGGCATACCTAAACATTATTTGGAGTCTTGTTAAACGGCACCATTTGGAAAAACGGCTAAGTCAATATTTTATTCAGAAAAATAGCATACACGCCTGAAGATTTTGCTCATAAGCGGTACAAAGGTTTGGACATCTATTAGCGAAATCTCTAGGCCTAGCCTATAGTTAGCAGTTTTAAAAAATCGGCTCAAATCGAGCTATTTAAAACACTAATTATTTGTGCAGAATGAAACTTTTTTTAGCACTAAATATTACTTAGCTTTACTTTATAATACGCCCAGGGACTGACTGGTCATACACTATTAAGGCAAGTCCCATGGGGCCTCTTAAAAATGCCGATTTTGATGGCTCTTAAAAAACTATTCTTTTAGAGTGTACAATATGGAAAGTTTTCGTCTTTCAGTTTTCACTATTCATTACAGAGTAAGGATAATGATTAGACACGAGACTCGTTATCCACAAAAAAATACTTTGATTTATTTTTTCATTCACTTGATTAGATTTTCTTTTTCGTTCCATATTTGTGAAAATATAACTTTATATAATATACACATATAGAAATATATTTGCATATATGAATTTGATGAGAAATTTTTAGCTATCTTGCATTTTTTATCTATAGTTAGTTATTGTATATATTTTTTATTCCATCTCTTAATTCAATTATTAAATGGTTAAAATGATATATTCTTCCAGTGGCCCTTTTTCATATTTAGCTAGGTAACTCTTCTAATCTTTTTCTCCTTTCCACGGCCTGGAAACCTAATATTTTCATATCATTATCTACCACTACTATTTAGCTTGTCTTTGGTCGCCTATGAGTCATATTCCCTCAACTTTAATATTTATCCATCGTCCTCTGTCTTCGGTTAACATGCCCAAACTACCTCAACCTATTCTTTCTCACGTAATCACCTATCGCTTCTATACCAATTTTTTATCAGTTCTTTGCTTGTTTTTTCTCTCTCATATACCCCACATATCCATCTAGCTTTTCTCATCTCCTTGACTTCGTGTGTCGCTTTAATTGCCCCCTGTTTCGCTGCCCATTAGACAACTTATCACACGGCTTGTATAAACTTTTTCATTCGATAGAAGAAGATTTTTATCCTCTAAAATTGAAGCCATCTCTGAATTTTTTCTAAGCCTATTTTATCCTTGCAGTCACTATCAAGTCAACGCCTCTTTGCGCTAAATGTATCGCCTAAGTCGCTTAACTTCCTCAATTTTTCCAAAGCTTTTCTATTTCAGATATTGAAATCAGGGTTGGCAAGTACAAATTATTTAAAAATATATTTGTATCATCAAGGCATCGATTTAAATATAATTTTATATAAAAATATTAAATTTTCGTATTAAAATATTAAATTTTCAATTTGAAATATAAAAAAAAAAGAATTTTTCTCATTATTAATTTGATTGGATCTAAATATATAAATAAATATAATAATTTTACTTATGCATGGTTTGAGAAAATTATTAATTTCCAATTTGTTTTACATTATGTACAATTATTCATACAATATAGGCCATGAATAAAATGTAATGAGCAAATACAAATATGCAAGAAAGCAATTGTTGAAGAAGTTGGATATTTGTCCGAGAGAAATTACCAATAATATATTAAATGATATTTTGGACAAAAAATTAAAAATTATTCATAAACATTTACATTAATATATTAAATGATATTTTGGACAAAAAATTTAAAATTTTAAACTATTCATAAACATTTAGCTATCTTATTGACCCTGGTTATAGTAAAAACCAGATGCTATATTTAGAAAACACATAATACAATCAAGTCCATGATTTTATATACCAACCTGAAGAAAAAATATTTACGTTTGAAAAAGAAAACAATCCAAATACACGTGTTCACACTGCACTGCTGATTATTTATTGGATCCCCAATATAAGGGGATTGAGTTTGATGACGTGAAGAGAAAGAAGGACGAGCCTATAATAAATAATTTATTTTATTTAATATAACTAACTTTTACAGAATAATAACAACCTATATATATATTTACATAAACTAAAATTAGAATACAATATTAAAAAGGTTAAGTTATAAAAATAAAAGGTAAAACTAAAAATAAAAGGTAAAACTAAAAATAAAAAATATAATTTGAATAAACAGAATGAATGTACGTTACATAAATTAAAACTTACTATTAAATAACCAAAATATTTTAATTTATTAATTCCTCTAATGTAACATTCTCCCTCTTCTACAAGCCTTCCCATAATTTCATCTAAGAAGTCATAGAGAGTTTGTTGTTCAAGTGGTTTATCGTTTTGGTTGTCAATGTTGCATAAGTCACTAATCGTTGGCTTGTCCAAATCGTTGGTTTGTTCGTTTTTGCACGTTTTTGTTTAAATCGTGAGCTTGATATCCTTATCGTAAGTTGTCCTTATAAATCGTGACTTCATATAGCTTGCTTGTAATGCAGTTGTTATTATTATCATTTTTCAAAATTGTTATTATCATCAGTAAGTTGTGATTAATGAGAAATAATAGTTCATCAAATTGGATATAAAAATAAGTGAAGAATGATAAATCAATAACTAACTTTTACAGAATAATAACAACCTATATATAAATTTTTATAAACTAAAATTAGAATACAATATTAAAAGGGTTAAGTTATAAAAATAAAAGGTAAAACTAAAAATAAAAAATATAATTTGAATAAACAGAATGAATGTACGTTACATAAATTAAAACTTACTATTCAATAACCAAAATATTTTAATTTATTAATTCCTATAATGTAACATGACGCATATGATATAATACAAAAATTAGTCGTTTTACAAAGTGATGATCATCAAAATATTTTAAGTGATATCATAAATTTCAGAAGTAAAAGCGGCGGTATATTTATTAGCCAAAATATGTGGAAAGCAGTAACTTTAAAAAACAATCAGATTTCGGGTTCAAGTGGTTGGAATGGGCTTTGTTCACCTTGAATGCTAAGAGAAGTGTCTCAGAAATCCAATTAAAGATCTCGACAACCAGAAAATTGGTAAGAGTATATCATAAACTAAGATTGATTAACAAATGTTAAAGAAAGTGATAAGATAATATAAATTAGAACAAAGCTCTATCATGGAGAGCTAAACATTAATTATAGAATTTAGAAAAATACAATTTAATATACATACATTTTTACTATTATAATAAAATGAATTAATATTGTCTTGATAAATATTTATTTGAATTTGACCATATTTGACCATACTTATTTGATCGGTCAAATGTACAACCCTGTATACCGCCAATATTGCGTTGTACTGTTCATATAAGAAAATGAAGCAAGTTTTTACTATCGAGTGCCTTTCTTGACATTATCATCTTACATTGCTTTTTATAATTCGTAAAAGCGACGATGATCTTATTCTATACCAGATTACAGGGAACGATAAACTTTCATTTATGGCATACATTTATAATAAACTATAAATTGAACAACTTTTTGAATAAATAAACAATAATAACTCTAAAGCTTGGTTCGAGGCTAAGTTCTTTAAATAGGGAGGGGGTCTATTAAATACATCTCACGGACCTCTTGACCTGCCAGTCCGCCAACGCCATTTATCATAATGAATATTTTTAAAATGTTAAGTTTAGATTTGGTATTAACCTTATTCTTATATTACTTGAAAAAATAAATAAAAAGTCTTTTCCATTGCCCGATTTAAATCAATTGTATTACAATGCATCGTCCCCAATTCGTAAAAGGTCTAAAATGATTTACGAAAAGAAAATTTTGATATCTCTTCTCTCGCACGCTCACATTTGGCATTTGAATAACGATATCGATAATGAGATGCAAGCCACATTTGGTTTTTTATTTAAGATTTTATGCTACTATTATTTTAGAATAATTCTAAGGCAACAGCAAAAGTATTTTGATATCGATACTCATTTTTTAAAGGATTTCCGATATAAGCAATATTCCTACAATTCGTTTATATCGCGATACAGTCTGGATGAACCTTATATCTATATTATATCCTTATATCGCGATATCATCGATCCTTGTATCGCAATATTATATTGTATCGTCCGTCGATTCCAGTCCAATAGACGCGATACTTAACTGAAGCTTTAATTATCAGTTACATTTTGTTTTATTTTAGAAGTTCATATGCCTCAATCCAATTCTACCGTAAACTGCATAATTGGGAATAATGGTGATATAGTTATACCTATAGGAGGTAACTGATAACCGTTTATTTTTTTACGTCAAATAATATTTACAAACTAATTTTTTTTAAACAGATATTGCAATTGGACCAATATTAAGGACTTGCAAGCTCATTCATTTGTTGACCATTTTAAATATTCTGGAACGGAATTTTGAAGAGGAAGGCATAATAGAGACTCTAGCTAAGGAAAAAGAGGAAGATAGCAAGCCAATGATTAACGATTCCGAGAACCTAGTTGTTAAACGGTTTCCATTTTTTACATTTTTATGATTAACGTTATTAATTATTACTTCGAATGTAAACTTTTCATATTATATTTTTAGTCTTTCATTAATTTATAGTTATTGAAATTCATTTAATTTTGATTGTTTCATTTATAAAGAAGATAGGGTTAATATCATTTGAAGCCTCAATATATTGTATAATGTATACAGAGTTGGGCAGGTCATCCGGAAAAAGAATCTAGATAGAGATAAAGAATCTAGATAGAGATAAAGATTCTTTATAAGAAAATGTATTTTAGATACAGATACTAATCTTTTTCAAAATATCAAAAAGATATAAGATACTTGTATCTTTTTCTAAATTAGAGTATCTTAAATACAAGTTACTTTTAAATCATTACCAATTAAATTAAAATATTTTATAAAATTCAGTTTTTATTATTTATTTGTAAAGAACATAACATACGCATATTAAAACTATGTTTACAATAATTAATAAAATATTTAATGATGAGTTAAATATATTAATCAGGCATTTTAATATTAGTATTAGCCCATTCTTAGCATAGATAGGGAAGGGAGACTAGTATTTTTAATGGGAGTTGAAATAATAATTTGCAAAAGAGTATTTAAAATAGATTCATTATTTTATAAGATAATCAAATTTTTCAAATAATTTATCTAACATTGTGCCAAAACAAAATAACCTTTCATTTGGCACTGATGAAGGTATTGCAGTATTATATTTTTAAAAAATTTCCTTAATGGAAGGATAATAATGCATTTATAATGTATTTCGACTTTCTTTAATATAATTTAAAACCCCAGTTCAATGTTATTTGTATTATTGAACTCAGCAAAATTTTTTACCAATACAAAAATTCATCATTTTCTTTATTAGATTTTAAATCTATTGGTGTTATAGTTTGAGCTTGATTATATACTTTAGTACTACATTTAGGGCTTTTATTAATAATATATTTTGAAAGTATTTTTTTTATCACCCGACTCAATCTATAAGTTCTTAAAATATGGATGTTATATTGATGCCAAAAAAGCCTCATTTATTCATATATAAAAATATTAAAATCTTTTGCTCATATCACTTCTTGGGCAACTTTTATAAAGGTAGACAATAGTGTAAATTTGAATTTTTAAACCACATATAATAAAATACTTTAATATGTTTATCAAAATTTTAAAATTGGGATTTTATTCAGGGGAACTTATTTCCATAATTTAAATTTCATTACCTTCTTCTTCACTACTATAAGTGTTAATACAAATTAAAAAATATTACATAAAATTGGTAATTATATTCTATCGAGTTACATATATACATAAAAATAATCCTTACTTATTCCGTTTTGGTGTTGTTATTTTTTATCTATCTATCTTAATATGAGTTGTATATTTTCCAGCTAATTTGGTTATCAATTTATAAAAAATATGGCGGAAAAAAATAAGGAAATTAATTCAAGATTTCCGAATAACTAAGATATATACTGTGATATGTAAAATTTTAAACATGAATATTAAAAAGAATCTGTATCTTTCGTCAAGAAGATACAAGAATAAAGGATTTTTGATACAGATACTAATTTTTTATTAAAATTATCAATAAGCTACTGAGTACAAGATACAAAAGGATTGTTTCTTAGATACAAGTGTTTACATTGCCCAACTCTGAATGTACATGTATGCAATATAAAATAACCTTTAAAATTATAATAAAATTTTAAAATATTGTTTGTTTAACAGGGTCAAGGATATCAATTTTTGCCAAAGGTTAAAACTTGTATACCTTCAAGGTTTCCTGAATAAGGGCATAGGAGATGGGCATCACGCTAAATGCGGCTTGGTTTTAGATATCATAATTTCAAGATTACAAAATCCTTGTTCTCCGGTAATTTCTATATGGATTGAATGCCTTTTTAGTCATAAACCTTTGGTATTTTCAGGTTGTATACCCTATACTAATTAATTCGAAACTAATTTTCTCACAGCCCATATGCAAGTGATAAGCTTATAAAAGCTATTACTTACTAAATCCTTCTAAGCTTCCCAGAAAATTATGGTTGAAAAATCTATACTTTCTTTTAAAATTATATTAATACCGCTCTTAGAGATGGGCGACATGGAAATTTATAAAATTATTGACTGCGGTGCAGTTTGTTGTTTTGACGGTATAATAGCTAAGCATCATGATATTTTTTAAATAAGGCTGTATTGCTAATTCTAATAAAATATGGAGTCTAAATATATCAATCGATTTTGAGAACTATTTTTTTGATGATCAAGTCATTTCAAACTTTTATATATTTATAAAATTATACTAATGTTAATGTAAAATAAACAATCATAAATTTTGTTATATAAATAGTTAAGCGATGCTTGTAGCTCTATACTTTCTTATCTACTCTTCAATTTCGAATTCACCACAGCTAGTATACGTGAAAAACCTCTCGTGACCATGATAAGTACAGTGCTAGAAATATGCATACAAAAATTAGAATACCTGCATTATCAACAAAAGCTCTTCCTATCCACAATGCTAGGAAAACAAACAAAATCTATTTCGCAATTCAATTCTAAGCCAACGATTGGCAATGGATATAGAAAGGCGAGCCATGGGTATTTTTATAAAGATATTCACTGCATAATTTTTCTCCCAATTTAGATATAATTCAAATGTGTATTATACTAAATTTATAGTTAGGGCAAATGGGAAAAATTAACCTTCTAGTAATCTAAACTTTATCTCATTCTCATGAGTTTACCATTTATTTCCTATAATTCATCATTTAACCCATTTCAAACTATATATAGCGGACATAAATGCTTAATTTTTTAAAATATATTGATTAAGGTTCATAAGGCGTTTCGTTCCATAAACTAACATTCATATTTATAATTGCTCTCTTTTTCCTCTATATAGACGGAAGTAACCAAAATCCAAGATTTATATCCCAATTGAATGGGTTTCTTCAGATAAAGTTGTACATGATCTCGCACTTTCATACAATAAAAGGCTTTTTATTGTTTAAAATATTTCAAGGCAATTCGATTGATTTTAGAGTTAATATGTGAATTTTCAAAAAATATTATAAAATTTATTATTCTTAGGATATATCTGCCTTTAAAATGGTTTTGAACGATTAAAAAGCCTTTTATTTTAATACATTCGTATATATAGGTATCTATACATTTCCTTATACATTATTTGCTATATTTTTTGAGAGAATACAGCAGCTGCGCTAATTAATGAAGAAATTATTAGAAAAATAGCAACGAGTAGTAGGAATAAAATTGGAGTTTATAGAAAATAGTCATAATATTAAATATATCTTGAAAAAAAAAATTTAACATTTGTAAATATAAAAATAATAAATGTCATATATGATTAATTCATAACATTGGTAAATATAAAAATAATAAATGTCATATATGATTAATTCCTAACATTGGTAAAAAATGTCATATATGATTAATTCCTGTTTCAAATATAAATTCTATAACTTGTATAGTTTAGTAAATCGCATTGAATAAAAATATATTTAATATTTTTAAAGCTGTGCCTATCCACAAATTTTTCACCGATCCGATATTTTCCAATATTACAAAAACCAATTCGATACCGATCCAATATTTATATTGATTTTTATTTACCATCTCTCTTTGAATCAATGTCATAAATATATCAATATTTTCTACTCTAAAAAAAAGTCAACTTACCTTCACCAATGATAAGTGTATTTTATTTTTTTTATTAAGTTAATATTTTAAAATATTTGGTGACCTGAGTTTTAAAATCCTTTCCTTTTTGCAGATAATATAACAAAAAATAGTGTAAAATTTTAAACTAAACATTACAACAGATAAATTTTATATTAGTTCCTTTCATTAATTTATTATTATGAAATTATTTATAAAATACTAAAGAAACATAAAATATCGGATCGGTAAAGATCGGCCCGATCCGCTTTTTTGAAAAAACTAAATATCGGTGATGATCCTATCCTATAAATATCGGCACAGCCCTAAATATTTTTATGATTTTAGATAACGTAGCTCGCCCTAGTAGCTGAAATATTATCTTAAAATGGGGGTTTCAAAAAAAGCATTGTGCATCTCAAAAGGTACCTTTAAAAATTGATTCAAACCGTTTCGCATATGAATTTAATAGAGTGATGTATAGAAAAGTTTATGGATATTATTATTAAAACCTCTTTATAAAACAACTAACATTTTATATATCACACATACAAATATACTTATTTTATAAATAACAAATCATACAATTGAGAATATTTCAAGATTCTATTATATCTATAAGGAAAAAGAATAAATTTTACGCTGAAAATACTTCCATACGCTACCTCAGCAAACACCATCAAATTGCCATATAGAAATAAAAATGTTTAAAATAGTATGTCAAAAGATTCAAACCAGTTCACTAATTTTTTAGGGGTCGGTTTAGAAGGCAAAATATTTTAACGATTAAGATTCGATAAACAATACCGATTTAACACTTGTTTGATTCGGTTGGATCCTTGAATTTTGGGTTAGAATACTTTAATCAGCCGCCTACAAAAATATGGAATTTATTTTCATTAAAAAATAAATCATCTATTTCTACTAAGAGCTTGAGCCAGTGAACTGAATTTTTTAAATTTATTTACATCCAGAACATCACCAGAAAAAAACATGAAACCAACCCATCATCCTTTTGACAATCAAGAATACGTGGAATATGAAGCCGAAGAAGTTAACGAAAATTCCTTATTTCATGATGATCGAAACTCAGAATACGATTCGACTGAAAGTTTTTATAGAAAGTTCTGTGGATCTCCTTTTGAAGACCTTTATACATTTTATGGTAATTATTGATTCAATATTTAATATATTCACCTCTTTGTAAATGTAAGCATTAAAACATGACCACTTAAATACTTGTAATTTTTTTTTTCTCATCTAAGTTAGGGACTTTGATGGTCCTTATTAAATGCTTGAAGAAAATTTACAAATCGCTTATAAAAGGTTTGCATTTTTTTAAAGGCTTTGGCTTGGCCCATAATATTTAGCATAGGCTGGCCTTAAAACGTAATTTTCATTGTATCTGGTCAACCTGTAGTTATTTTTTGGGGGAAAAAATTATAAATTTTCATTATTCTAATTCAAAAAATTTCGCGTGGTCAAAATAATTTTCCACAAATTTCCCAACCAAAATAGATTTTTTCACGAATTGCCCATCTCAAAAAGATATTTTGCACAAATTACCCAACCCAAATAGATTTTTACCTAAATTGCCCAACCCAAAAAGAAATTTTGCACAAATAAATTATTTTTAGACTTTATTAACAGGATAGTACGAATTCAGCAAAATAATTACAATGTTCATGTTATAGAATAATTATAAAAAAGGTCTAATTCATAATTCATTAACTCCATGTTAAAAATCAAAATCTATTTTATTATATTTTTTAAAAGGTTGCCAACCTGGACCTATTTTAGCATTTGTGTTAATGGGATTTATCAAATATAGATTACCTACAGATACTACTGACTCCACCGAAGACTCATATTGGCAAATAGATCAATATTTTAGTCTTAAAAACCCACGCCTATTAGTGCTAACTAGTAATATTGTATACTTGTTTTTTTAAGATTAACATTCAAATATATTTTCATTGCTATATTAATAAGTGAATATTATCAGTTTTGGGAATTTTTAGTTTGCATATATGAATTATATTATTATCCTATTTTAAAAAAATAGACTATAATTAGTAAAATATCAGATCAATTCAGCAAAACTTTTAACTTTTTTGCGATTTTTTTACCGCTAATGGCGCTTATCGCTAAAGAATATCAGAGCTAAGTGATTTCGCAAAAATTTTTCCAGTTTTTATATTCAATATAATATTGCAAACCTATTATCGATAATTTATTTCTTGTTTAAAGTCCAGATTTCTTCCACTCATTTTCGCGAGTAAGGAGTCGATAATTTCACTTTAACCTTTATAAATCCCCAAACTTGAAAAATGCCTTTTATGCAATTAATTTAAATTTTAGCAAACAACACATAAATTAATCACTCTAAATTTACATAATTGTAATTAGGGGTGTACCACGATACCACTTTTTGTTGTATTCTGTAAAGATACCAATGGTTTTGATTTTTAATATACTTATTATTAGTATAACATCTATAATTTAATTGCAATTCTAAAAGTATATAAAATATTTTTATTGATAAATTACTTATAAATAATTAGTAATAAACTAATATATTATTGAATTTGAAATTAATATTTAAAATTAATATATCGAAGATTTCTTTTTAGAAATAGCAAAATTTCCAATTTATCAGAGATCAGTCTGCGGTGATGGGGACTCGCAATATCACTAGCATCACTAAAACAGGTTCTGAAGAGATTATTGCACACTTTTTTAAACAGAATGCGAGAAAAATAACTATATGGTAGAATGTTTTTTATAACTAATTATTACTATTAAAAAAATTAAACATAAAAATGGATTTCGATTTTATTTATAAAAATAAATGGTTTTTTATATATAACTTTTTTAAAAAAATTTTATATTTTATTTTTTATTAAAAGCGCCATTTTTTATCCGATCGGAAAATTTTATAATATTTGCCGATAACCGATATTTTAAAATGGGTGAAATATCGGTCTGGTCCGATCCGATATAAAATATCGGTACATCCCTAATTATAATAATGCTAAATATTCATTCATATTTAAAAATTAACTTGATGAAAAACACTTGAATTAAAAATTGAAACGCCCCCAAAAAAAGTTCTTACTTGTCCCGGATTAAAAATACTAAAAGCTACGAACTTTCCCTGATTTAAAAAAAAAACTAAAATAATTTCGCTTAGTAAATTTTATTTCTTAAATTTTTTTCCAGAAAATTTCAGAACGTTTATGTTTAATTTATTTAACTTATATTATTTATATTATTTATACTTTAGAGGGGGGCAGGCCTATATTTTTTTAGAATAATAGCTCTATATGAGCATCAATATCAACTAAAATTAATAAATAATAGGAATGCTATTAATCATCACTCTAAATCATGGTCTAGTCTATATCATTAGGAGAGGAGGGGTAAACTATCATTAAAAAATTTTTTATGAAAGCGAATAAAATGTTTTAATCATTAGGGTTTTTGGAGCGGGTTTTTTTTCTATCTTAAAGATGAATTTTACACTCCACCTAGGTGACGGTAATCATATTTTAAACCCGAACCAGGTAGCCTTTTTAGGTCTATAAGGTACTCAGAGATATACATCCCGGTTGAGGCGCAGCAAGTTGTTTCGTTTCCCAGAGTTTTTTCTGAGACCAAACTCATAGACGAAGTTAGGGTTGTAAAAAAAGTGCATAGTGTACAATTACCAGCTACAGCTAATTTTTAATTTTGCTAAAATACAGCTTTAAATATATTAGGTATTTATATACACAAAATTAAGGTTATTAATCATCCGCTATACAAATGTGTGGGGGGAGGGCGGTCGGGACGTTAGGCATGGGAAAAATAAAATCAAAATCGATATTTCCAAGAATTAATAAATTAAAAATAACTTAAACCTTATTATTGTTAAACTATTTACTTCTGTACTTTACACTTATATCCATGCCTTAATCTGAAGCCATATCGGCGCCTAACGAGTTAAATATATCAAACCATAAATTTTATTTTTTGCATTTTTCCTTCCAGCAAGGATCACGGTAACTGTCTAATGAGCCCAATCAAATTCTTAAAGCTCAAGTTCCTATCGCGCAATTTCTATAAAATAAGATTTTGAGGAAAAGGCAATAGATAGGGTGGTATAAAACATAGTATTCCTTTTAATTTTCTAAACCATTTTAAGCTTTTTAAACCTATTTTAAAATCTTTTAATTAATCAGGTTTTAAAATAGAAATCATTCAAAATAAAATAGCACATATTAGCAATTATCCCTGTATTGCATTCGCGATTTTTCGAAATAGTTTTCGCGATTTGAATTTTGCTAAAATTACTTAGATATTTATATTTTCGCGATAACGTTTAGTGGTAAGATTTTTTCTGAATTGACATGAAACCAAACAATTAATTAGGTATGGTATGCTGGTATTTGGATATAAAATAAATATTATAATTTTAGATTTATATATATGTTAGGATCAATGTGTTATTTTTTCAACTTTAAATCATTTTTGAGCGCCTTTTTATGAATTGTAAATAATTTAGCTGTTAACCTTTGAGTAATTTATAATTTTATAAAAAATCTATTAATATAAATTTAAATTATATTAAGTTCAAAATTTCATGACAAAATTGTAAATTTTTAAGAAATATTTTCCAAACATGATGGAATACATTTCCGATAAAATCAATTTTTTAAATTTAAAAAAAAGGCACTCAAAAATGATTTAAAGTTGAAAAAATCACACAATGCCGAAAAAAACATATTGACTCTAACATATATTTATATATTTCTTATATCAACTGTTTAACTTATTTTACATACATTCTCAGGCGATATTATATGGAATTTCATAAACTCTCCGTTTTTCTCCCAGCGCCTTGATCATAATTTAATTCAACCAACGAATAATGTCAAATCATTCAGTGAATACCTTCGAAATAATGAAATTTTCAACAGACTTATAGCTTATAACGTTTTATGCAAAGCCTTCTCGACATGGGAACCATTTCTTGATCTATCCTCCTTGTTTTTAAGGCTTCTCGAATTGTGCATCCTCACATCGGGTTCTAAACTACTCGTTAATAATGGGTTTTAAAAAATGCCTAAATATTATTTGCTAACATTAGTATAAATATAGTTTTGAAAATTCCTAAATATTACATAGACATAATAGTTGTATTTAAATAATTATAGAAATAAATTTCCATTTTATAAAATAAAAAGCTCAAAGCAAAATAATTCATATTTTAAATATTATATAAAGCGGGATGTCCTTATTTTCACCCACCAAATCCTGCTTAAATAAAATAGCTTACATGAGACCTGCCGCATTTATAACTATTATAAACAAAGAAATTAGCAAGTATATGTGATTTAATGTGTCTTATATTATTCAACAATGATGTTATTGGCTAGGGGTATGAGGTCGAAATAAAAATGTTAATTTTTACTAGAAATAGTTTGAATATAATATATTATGATCTATTAAATTAAACCTTTTTAAAATATTAATAATTTTTATTTTATTTTTCCTTGAAAAATTATAAACTAATTTAAAGATATATGCTGCACTTCTTTACACCCCTTCAAAATTTTAACGCAATAACGCAACCATCAACAGTACCTTCTAATTTAATCATCAATTCTCGAGAGTATTTATTTTCAACTATAGAAATGTTGATACATAAACAGCCTATAGAGATTATCAATTTGCTATCCGAAGTAAATATTTAAAAATATATATTTTCATATGATTTTTTTCATCATTAAAACTTAAACACTTAATTTGTCGTATATGATAAAAACGGTCGATTTGATTTTTTTATTCATCTGAGTAACTATGGTTAATTAAAATTTTGTTAAAATAATTTAATTTTTATTCCTTTAAGGCATTATAGACAGGGATCCAAACTGAAACGAATATCGGTTCAGGTTCGGTTTGTAAAAAATAAAAATACCGGTTAGGTTCGAACCTCAAAAAACACTAAAACACTTTTGTATTTAAACCATTAAGTATAAAGAATATTTTTTTTATTTCGTCGTTAAAATAAAAAATCATACATAAAACCTTCATTTTTATTAATTGAACATTATAGAATAATATTTAATTTATAAGTGTAGCAAATAAATATCAATGATTAATTTTAATATGAACAATATTGGTTAATGATGCTTGGTACCTTAAGGTACCATCTATCAAATTTGAATTTTGTTCATTTTTCATTTGGATAGGCACTACCAAATATATTTATAATATATACTTGAAAAATCGTGATTTTTGGAAAGCCTCTATGGCCTAGTAGGCAAGAGCTTGGTTTACTTATCCCATGCTCCCGGGTTCGAATCCCTGGAATGATCATGTTTTTTTTCTTATTCTAACTTGGTGGTTCCATCCTTGGGGGGATAATATATAGGAGGCCGGACTCGACCACGTGATTCCGTATTAATATATTAAATAATAAGGATCTTATTACATTTTAATAAATTTTGGTCGATATTTAGCAAATTAAGTTGGTATTTAGAATATTTCCATACATTCACTTGGTAGTAAGCATCATTAACCAACAATATTTAACTTTATTTACTTGAAAATTTTTTATTAAGCCGCACAATTAATATATTTTTAAGATTCGTTTCACTCATACATCTATAAGGAGATTATAAATTTAATTGTTAAAAAACATCTTTCCACACTAACTTGGGTAGCCAGCACTGCCAGTGTGATATCAGACAATTTGTATTTGTTCTTCATCGTTTTCAGACATTTGATTGTCATCATCACTATCCTCCATAAATAATTTTACCTGTTAATAAAATTTGCCCCATTGTCAGTTATTATAGTGATTTAATACTTCTATTTTAAATTTTCTGCACTGGGCCGTTTAAAATTTTCTTTCATTGCTAGTGTTCTTAGAGCAATTTTTACTTTTTGAAGATACTGAAGATTAATCCCACAAATCGACCTGTCTAGATGAGTATAACAGTCAATTTTTAGAGATAATAACTTACTATTTATCTTTTTTATTACATTTTGCCGAATAAGGCTAATTTTGCAACATTAGATTGAATATTTTGAGAATTAATTTTAATTACCCATGCCTTCTAATATGGGATTAAGATTTTTTTAAAACCGCTATCATTGATTAATTTGAATGGTCTGCCATTAAAGGTGACCAACTCATTACAAGCATCGATTATTTTTTTTATCTAGTTTTACTGATATTGTTTGTTCTTTTAATGCTTCTTCTATCATCTGTTGCTTGATGACATCTTAAACTTATTTATTTCATTAGGCTTTTGATGTGATATTTTGTTAATTTTATCGAATTCTAGAGGGTGCGTTCTTTATATGAGACGCTCAAGATTTACTCCATGATGGCCTTTCATATTTATTTGACAATCTAATATTACATTTTGATGTGTCATTTATAATACTATATGTAAATAATTTATATATTGGATTTAATTTTTCTCTAGGCAATATAATTTATATGCTTAAAATATTTAAAAAATGTAATTTCCTTTAATACAATTCAATTTTTTTTTTTAAAAAAAATAAATAAACTTTATGGAAATGTAAAATGGGTGGCAATATACTAAGTTTATAAAAATTATGACTGACACTTATCAATCAAATGTGATTGATAATAATCTTTAAAATAATTCGAATATAATTAAAATTTTTCCAATATATTAGTAATAATTTACATATTATTTTATAAACATAAAATCACGAGGCTCGAACAGGTTCAGAGGCATTTTCGCGGTTCATGTTCGGCTAGAAATTTTTTAGCCGTTTATGTTCGATAAAAAATACCGGTTTTTAACGGTTTAATGATTCGGATCCCTGATTATAGATACAAATTTTTGATTATGATGTTAATATTTTTGGTTATAGTTTATTAACCTTTTTTTGTCTTGCCACTCGACTTATTTTTCTTCATACACTTCTGTCTGGTATCATCTCTGGCTTACGTCATAACATAATCATCCTCATATACTCTTTTATAAAGTTCCGCTATTTTACACAGATCGTTCTCTTCTTCTGGTTCTCAGTTACCCAGCTCTCGTTCTACCACCTACATATTTACCCTTTTCCCAATATGCTCCTTGAATATTCTCATATAAAATTTTGATGGACTTTAATTCGAGAGGGAGTCTTATTTAGGCAATAAAACTCAATTCTTCTCTTTCCATTTCATCGAAAGTACATTTTCTTTTTAAGCCCTTACACCTAGCTTTTTAACACCGATCTATGCCATTTCCACTAATTATTCGCGCGTCTTTACCAACGCAACTTCATTCCTCCCTCTATAAACCTTCTTCCGCTTCATTATTTACTAAGATAATCTAAGAGCACATTTTCAATAGTGGTTAAACCACCGTTAAGGGATCAAAAATATGGGTTATCAAGAAACTATCTGTGTGACACAAATAATGGGTGCTAAAATGAAGGTCGTCAAAAAAGGATAATATTAGTAAAATAACAAAGTCGCTGATACACCTTTTTTTAGTATATAATATATTTATTTAAGGGTCAAATAATAATTGTTGGAAAACACAATTTCTGGGAAATAGTGAATATTACTGTGTTAATAACAGCAGTTAAACTGTTTAAAACAACTAGCTATTTTTGTTTTGCCATTAATCTATTTGCTTATATAAAATTATTTATTTGATAATGTTTTTTAAATATCTGTATGTGTCTAGTTGATAATTTCACCATATTAACTAGAGAAATTCCTATATCTTGAAATATACATCGAATATCATCATTAAAACAGGATTTAATTTGAAAGTCAATTTGCATATTTTTTTAAAAAAAACTTATGGTCATTTGGGCGCATATTTACAAATTCGGGAGGCAGAATCATTGATGATAAATAAGCGACAGAGAAGACCGATGGGAAAAAATATAGAGATTTTAAAGATAATAACTATATTAATTCTAGCACTAGACAGAAGTGAATAGAGTTGAAGAATTCGCATAATCCCTCGAGTTCTCACAAGTGAGATGGGATAAAAGTAATTCACCATCGGGTTTGGACGCATAATGTATAAATGCGAGAATCATTTTTTTTTAAAAAAACAATTTGTTATAACAGAAAACTATATTTATCTTTTAATACTCTTTTCTTTTCCTTTTTTAATCAAAAATTAGGTTTTTCAGTGATCGTTGGGCTTAAGATCATTGTGGCATCATTATTAAAAAAATAAATTTTTACTGACCATCTTGTATGGTCTTATTGATTTTCATCATGCTTATATCTTCACCTAAAAATATACTTGCAATAGGTAATTTTCTTCATTAGAATTGATCTTTCAATATGAATTTTTGCTTTAATCTTCAACTAATCTAATCCATGAAATATCTTCATAAGATTTATTTCTTGGTCTATCAATGAGCGTATTTTTTTCCAGTGGGTCAGACGCAAAAGTGACTACTAATCTTCATTAGTTTGTGGTGCTGATAGCGCTTAAAATGCGGAACTTTTTTTGTTTATTAAATTTAATTTTTAGAAATTTTCATTATCCTTTTTTTTTATTCGATTTAAAAAAATAAGATAGTTGGAATAATTTTATAATTGCACGTATACTACGCTAATATTATCTTGTGTTGTATGATCATGTCGAACAACACAAGAAAAATAGCATGATAAATTTTTATTCTCTGGATACAACCAATGTATTTTATATTATTTATTTAAAATAAAAACTCTCTACAAGAATATTCAATAAGACAACAGAAAAAAATTATATGGAATAATATGATAAACTTTGAACGGAAAATGTCGTACCCAATATTTTATTTTACCATCCACAATTTTGATTATTTAATATATTCTTAGTATATTTTTTTTCCAAGTTATCCTTTAAATCCAGAAATATAGCTCCCTGCAACTTTAAAGGATATTTAATATTTTCTAGATAGAAATATGTTATCTATCTGTTATTTATAAATTATTATTAATTTTTATTTGTAGACAATTGATATATACGTATATTGTGGAGGTAATACCATGCATAGAGTTAAAGATTGGGAAAAATTATTGTCACCTTTTATGAAGTTGAATTTGCCAAATTGCATATAGTTAAAAATTATATTAGATTCCCTCAAATAGCCTTCAATGTTGAAAAAAAGCAGTTAATTTTAGGTACTCAAAAGGCCCTATTATACCTTTACGATTTTAAAACAATCAAACCCGAGGTAAGAAAATTTTTAAAACTTAATTAGAAATATTTCTTTAAATTTCAAATATTATAAAAGATAGATACATTAAATAATTAATACACAAAAATATTGTAATTTTTAAAAATTTTTTATCCCTATTTATAAGTATTTTTCAACTTTTATATTGTAAATAGAATTTATTATTGATATAAGACCATTTAATATAGTTTTATTTAATTCTTTAGATTTGCAATACACCCCATATAAATGCAATCATAGCAGTGTCTTATTCTCCAGACTATAAGAATTTAGCCACCTTATCTTACCCCGAAGGACTTTTAGTCATATGGCAGGTAAATAAAAATATTTTAAAAAATTTTGAATTTAAAACAAAGATAACTTCGACTTTATTTGGCATAGGCCCCAGTCAAGCTAAATATTTAAAATCGCGAAAATTAGACAATGTGCCTCATTTGTATCAAACGAGTGATCAGGATTATAAAATCGGAAAATTGATATGGATCAATAATAAAGTATTATTAATTCTTTTTTCAGATGGAACCGAACAAAAATTCCATTTATAAGATAGAGTATTTTTCATTCCAATCACACAATTTAATTAATTCGCGATTTAGTCTTCCTTCTTTTATTTAATTTAATTTTAAGTAGTAATCAATTAGGTTTAAAACCAATACAAAAAAAATTTATTTAATTTAGCCAAGTTCCTTAGATAAAAAATTTTTTAAATTATTTGCAATGAATCCATAATTATTTATCTTTCTGTAGCCATTACGACTATTATTATTAAAAATATAAATTATTCACATTATATTGTATACATATTTTTTAAAACCTGATCATTTATATTTAAAAAAAACATGATATAAATTTTAATGCGAGAATTATGTACAATAAATGTTGATCCATGTTAAATATTATAAATAATAAATATGGCCAAATCGATTCAAATAAATACTCGAAAATTCATAACGAATTTTTGGTTTATTACATATATATATTTTTTAAAAAAATCTTATGATATGAAAGGTTGAGTTTCGGTTTGGTATCTATAGCTAAGTTGCGGATTAGTTTGATAAATTTTGGGCGAGTGATTTACGGTACCTTTGTTTACATTTTCTGGTATGAGTAAAGCTAATAAAAACGCCATCATGACTAAAAAAGCTCCGAATACATATGGTGGACCGGGCAGTATTCGCTTAGATTATTATCAAAATAATTTTAAAAAATTTTATATTTTACATAATAAATAAATTTAGTATATTAAGTTGCGATATTTTGAGAAAATTGAGGCAACGGAAAAAATACCAATAAAATAATTTAGTTCAATTGTAAAGCATATAATTTAATATGCTTATGGCTTTAGGTTCAATCCCATTATAATCCTTTTTTGTGAGTTTGGTTTCTTCAATGAATTCTATGAGCGGTTTACATAAATATGAAAGATAGAGTATAAGACAAGTTCACATTGTAAATAAATAAAAAGTATGGAATATAAGTAAAGTTATAACAAGGGGTGCCAGGTTGGGAAAGGTAAGATGCCGTATGGCCAAAAATTAGTTTATGGTAAACGATGAACATAAGATAGAATCAATTTTTCTGCCTGATCACCCTAAATTAGAGAAAAGGAACTATCCGTCCATGTCTTTTTTGGAAGGACGGACGAGTTCTAACGCATAGGATGGGAGGTTTCTTCGCGTATATAATTTTCTCCCAAAATATTTTATTTTATTAAAGAAAATGAATATAATATATAATAAAATTATTAATAAATATAATCAATATTTCTTGCTAGATTCTAAGGCTGTCGTGATGCATGATTTATTATATAATATATATGATATTATTATAGCCTCTTCAATATCCACAAAAAGCTTCTGTATAGGAAATACAATAAAGTACATAATAACTGATAATAAAAAGCATTAATTAATAATTTAATTTACCATATTCATTTTAAATAGGTATATAATTCTAAAATTAAATACAATTGGCCTCTTCTTATTTTTTTAATTTCTAAAAATTCTTTTTTAGAATATAAGTAGGATATTTATATTACATTTTATATAATATTATAAAGCGAAGAATAAAAAAAGTAATGAAAAAGCAAATCTATTTGCGTTTTTTTAAATGGTTGCTTACGCCAAACAGTTACTTTATTAATATTTGAAAAGCATTATTTGCGTTTGAAACGTTCTATTTGAGTGCACTATTAAGGAAGAGATGGTAGATTTTTTTAAAAATTAATATAATTAAGGGTTACGCATAGGGAAAGAACAAAATATTTGAAGACCGTAATAGGAAATAAAAGAATAATTCTGAATGGATAAAATTGCGAAATTTACCGCTCAGATTGAATAATTAATTTATATAGGTCAGTGATTGTTCTAACTATACAATAACTCCGAAACCTGGCCTTCACAAGTGTAAGTAAGAAATAAAATATAGTGGGTTATTGTCGTTTTAATATGCCCAAATTATGAAATGACACATAAGAGACAAATGTAGGTTGGTTCCAATATTGATGGTTAAAGAAATAGATCAATCTGATAAAGAAAGATATTAAATAAAATAATAATAATCAATGCAATTGCATGAATTGAGTAAATATTGGGCTAGATGACAATCAACAATGGAGAAAATCTTAAGAGACGAATATATATATTTTAAAAAAATTAGGATTTTTGGTATCATTAATTATTTTTAAAACCTCTCTATAATCAGCGTAAAAAGATTGTGGTATCGGTATGCCAGTGTGATTAAAATTGTTAGGTAAATCATCTAACATAAGTGTAGTCCTTTTATGATTATCTAAATCTACGTGAAACATATAAAATATGAAGCCGAATAGGGCAGGACCGATTCCGTTGCATAGTCCCCTGATTCCGGTAATTAAACCCTGAACTAAACCTATGTTTTAATTTTATATATAATTTATAATATACGATAATTAATTTGGTAATAAAACATTTCATTCATAATTAGAATATTTAATAAATAAAATAATTTGTTTATAACCTTGTTTATCAGGGTCTGTTTGAGTAGATATATAGGAACTAATAGCTGGATAGGTTATACTTGATAAAGAAGCTAATGCTCCAGCTGACCACATCATCCTTGTGTTTATATCAAAAAATGATTAACTTAGTATATAAAAACGATATAGCACATGATTTATTCTGCATCTTTGATTGAATTAAGTATATTATTACCACATCTTGGAAGCAAATCCATACCAGGCTAATTGAAAAATTTCAAACGTGAGCCCTATCAATATCGTAGTTTTCCCACCCAAAAATCTCATCAGGAAATTTAAAATGAATGTCTATAACAAATTTTAACATAATATATTGTAATTTTTACATTTACTTGGGCTATGACGGATAAAATTCCTACAAATGCAATAAATGAAGCGACTTCTTCTCCCGAAAAATTCATAATCTATAAATAAAATTAGAAATAAAACCATATTCAAAATGTAATATTAAGAATGGTAAAATTACTAATTTGAGATAAACGAAAAACGACGAATATTGACCAGATTCGGGTAAGTAAGAAAAAAATATAGTTATGCATAATATCATTATTGTCCTGTCTTTCCCGATTCTACGTATGTGCTTTTGTTAGATTTTTTCGAAAAACAATATTATATTATAGTAGAAAAATATAAATCATTTCGATACAAATTTATTAATTATTAGAATCCTGCACAAGCCCAGCTGACATAATATGTTTAAACAGAGATTTGCCGATGACCGATAGTCATTGGAATCCTTAGTCTACATTAAGTTGAATTGATATGAGAAGAAAAAAAAATTTGTTCCTAAAAATTTATAACTATATAAGAATCCGTTGTTATTTTATTTATTCGGTAACTCACTGAAACACGGGGAAATTTTTAATAAAAAATAATAAATATGCGATCGCACAAATCTTAAAATTTTATATTTTTCAAGTCATAACAAAATGAAAATGGATATGAACATTACTCGGTCAATCACAACCAAAACTTTATAGACCCAAATGATATATCGATCATATTCAAAGTACTGAGCGTTTATGGTGGGATCTTAAGGCGAGCATCCCCAGAAATGGAAGAAAATCTTCCTCTCATTTATATATATGTGAATATTCTTATTTTCGTAATATTAATAATATGTCAAATTTAAGTAAATTTTTAAATTACCAAATTAGGCTATGTTAATTAAATAAAATAAATTTATATAAAACTATTTATGTTTTTCCTTAAAATATACATCTATATATTATGTTTATTCGAATAAATTGCTTAATTATCTAGTATTTGATTTAAAAGTCCTACTAACTTAGTAGCATCTTAAAATAATATACTCTATTTTTAATGTAAGTTAAAGAATTGTGAAAATTTTCACAAAAAAAAATTATAGTCCTAACTTAGTAGCATTTAATATATATAGCACACGCCTTTTCCATTTTAATGTAAAATTAAAGAATTGTGAAAATTTTCAAGAAAAAAAAAATGAAATTCTTAAAACTTTTGAGTTTATTATTACATCAAAAAATTTCCACCCATATCCACACGATAGCGTATTTATAGTGCTGTACGAAGTAGGTTTTTTTGAAAAAAATGATGAACGGTGTTCCTTTTATTTCTGACAAACTTTGAATATTATTGCATTTTAATTTAATAGATTCATAAGCATGGATATTATTTTATCATCTGATTCTGAAAATTCAAAATATGAATTAACATTACCATGGCCCAAATATGATATATATTTTACAGTAACATCCTATAGCGAAAGAACTGTGCTCAAAAGTATTATATCAGTTTCAAAATCTTCAAGCTTCAAGTTCCGATTTTAATATTAATTATTTTATATAATATAATATAACAAAGTAGCCAATTAATAATTTATTTCAGATTGTTTTAAGTAAAAATCATTAAATTAATGGTTGATATCATTTAGAATTTATTTTTAATATCATTTTTTAAAATTATAATCTAATCACTATTTTTTTTTATCAACCATGTCTATTTTATTACCATTATATTATAAAAATAAAAAACTCATTCTATAAAAACGAAGGTTGAATACTAGTTCCCAAAAAACATGAATAATTATATTTTAAAATGATAATTTGTATGTTTTGTTCTAAAAAATAAAATTCTTTGGGTTCTGATGTAAGCTCTTATATTGCCGCCTATATTTTTTAAAAATTTTAAGTTACGCATGACATATGTCCAAGCAAAGAGATAACGATTGGTAAAAAAATAAAATTTGTTAATTTTGAATATTTAATTGTTTTTTTTCTCGGCTATATCAACCGGGTCAGAATTTAAACTTTTTGGAAATGAAGAGACGCATGTGAAGTCGACTTATCTAAAGACCAAGGCATAGAAATTAAGCGACCTGGTTTTAGCCATTATCTAATGATAAATTAGTAGGCTCCATGATGTTTGGTATTCGGGCTCTTGTAAGAGAATGGCTAATAACTGAATTAATTGCTGTGTGTCTTGCATGTATGCCTTAACTATATATACAATTAAGACCATTTCCATCTTAGGAATCAACTAATTTTACATTTTATACATGTATGTGGTTGAACTATGCTACATCCAATTCGATGTCCTATGACAACTCTTAATTGTTCATCTGATAAAAGGTTTCCTAGTTACAATTTGGTAATGATTCCAGCCATTCATAACGACTAGCACAGTCAGCATTTTTAATAGTTGAATATATTCTAAAGGGGGGTTTGATGAGAGTATTTAAAAAAATTTTTTAATTAAAGGTTCTAAAATTGTGAGTAAATCAGCTTCAGGTAGAGCTAAAGATATCCAATCTGTCAAGGCCGATTTTGATTATCTTTAGGAATGATAAAAGAAGATATCATGGCGTTGTTCATCAAACGCGATGCCAAAAATGAAGAAAGAGATATAAAATTTAATGGATATAAATCTAAATCAAGTATTTTATAAATTGTTAAACACAATTTGAAGTATAAATTAATATATTGTAATAATTAGCTTTTATAAGATATATAAAAGCATTAATATAAAAATGATTTGAATCTACTATACCTATGATTTTATATTTATATTTACAATATAAAAATGAAATAAATGATAAATTTAATATTTTTATAAAAATAATTAATATATAACGAAGATAGAAGATGGATTAGGAGGATAACTTATCTCAATTTTTTGAAGCAAAGGACAAAACAATAAATGTTTTTAATAAATTCCCCTAGTTGAAAAAGTTCTTTATGAAGCATAATACCGCAATCCACTCATCTGCCCCTGCAGAGCGCGTTTTAGTAAAGCTAATGCCGTATTAACTGCTAAGCGTTCCTCTCTATCAGATGAAAATTTTGAAAACCAATTATTACGCGTTTCTTTTTTTTGAAAGTGAACGCGTTCGATTTTTGTCAATGAAGGTTAACGCGTTTGATTTTTTTAGAAATGTTTACAGCACTACATATTTATTAATTTAAAATAAAAAAAATATTTAAAAAAAATAATAATAATATTTAAAAAAAATAATATTAAAAATTTCCCCGAGTTTCAGTGAGTTACCATTTATTCTCTACCCATGTTTTTCTTTACTTTTAAAAATTATCTTAAGGAATCAACTTTTTTAAGAAGAATAAACCTTAAGAAGAATAAACCTTAACAATAAAAACGGCTATAAAAGTCTCATTATTGAATGACATTTTTTTCAAATTAACTTCTTTTTAAAAAAATTACATTTAATAAATATAAAATTTGGTATCGGTTTTATCCTCCTAAAAAAGAGGAATGAGTACAATACTTCTTTAAATCTCGTTAAATTTCCGAGACTACTGGCGAAGGGGAGTGGGGAAAAATATTTATAATTGTGGTCATGTGAGCCTAACAGGTCGCGCAGGTTTTAAATTTAAGTAAAACTATTAGAAAGAAATTTAAATGATTCAAAAGGTGTTAGTTATATTATTAATATAATTAAATAGCTACCAATAATGGATCAGCGTTTTGCCATGAAATGAGAGGGGCAGAATGGATTCCAAATCCCACAGGCTCGAATAAATCAGTGCCGGGCGAGGAGCTTATGAGCTAAAGATAATATTTTTATAATATTTTATTGACAACTTTGGCAACAATAAAATAAGAGGCAAAGAGGGATCTGATTTATCACTCACAGACCCGCCCATCACATTAGAATCACACTCGATAATTATCTTTTGTTTATAGCCGCTCACTCATGATTATCTGATCTTTTAGAATCTCGTTTATTATAGATTAATCTCAACAATTACCCTACCTCGATATTGGAATATAATTCGAATTAAGAGAAGGTGTTGAATCTTTCGGTTTTTATAGGCGATAGGATATATTGTTATTATCATGTTTTTTAAATATTTTTCATGCATACATTATGCTTTTCAATATTTTTGCCGAGTCCTATAAAATCATTTAATCATAATAAATAGGGGAGATAGGGGCCAGATGGGTAAGAAGGCAAATACCTATAACTTATAAAGCGTTATAGCGAAATATCTCAGATTTGGTCAAAATATGTTTCTATTTTTTATTGTTCATTTCAAACTCGTTTTAGTAAAAAATTCTTCATAGTGGTAAAACAACTTTGTAATAATGTTTCATGCAGAGTTAGAAAAAAATTTCAAAAAATTTTTATGCATGGAAATTACAAAAAATTTTACTTATAAAAGAGTTTTTAAAGCATTTTTAGGTAAATTTGATCAAAAATCTCTCTTCTTCTTCAAAAAAAAGATTTTTTTCAAACTCTGGTTTTATGTGATGGGACGCAGGAATTCGCTGCGATAGGAGGGGGGGGGGTTAATTTTTTCTTAGAATTATTCTAGAAGTTATTTAAGAATATTTTAAATGACTAAAAATATTGACAATTTTTTATATACAAATTTAAATAATATAAATTAACAGGGTTGTGTATTTGATTATGATTCAGTCAATTGATCGTAATTTTTTGTTTGTTAAATTATTTCAAATTTTGAATATTTTATTTTATAAATAAATAACTTGATTTTACTATACTATAATTACGCCTGTTTTCTAGAGTTATTTAATAACTTTTTAAACTTTGTTTTTCTCCATTTCCGATTACTTTGGCATTTTTCTCAATCATGTTTGAGCATTTAGTTATTATTTAAATAACTTTAACCTCATTTTTATCCATTTTTGCTTTTTTTTTGTATTTTTTTAAGCCCATTTTTGATTATTTTGATTTTTTAAAACTTAATTTTTATGTCATTTCTGTTTACTTTTTATTTTCTAGTTTTTGAGTATTATATTATAATATAATTTAATTTTTTCTACCGTTATATTTGTTCCACCCATTTTTTTTAAATATTAAAAATAAAAAATTAATTTTTATTTAATTTTTCATTTTCCCACCCATATGAATATATTAGCTTGATATAATATACTAATCTTGTTTGAGGCTTTTTTTTAATGATTTAATTTAAACTTATTTGTACTTGGTCTATTTTTCCATTCCCTCGTGTTGGTTTTTTTTAACTTTCGCTTATTTATATTTTTTCCATCATTTTTAATATTATTTATATTTCATTTAAAGGGAGAAAAAATAATAATTAAAAAAAATCATAAACCCCAAAATGGGTGGATTGGATATACAAGATGAGGTAGATATTAAGAGAAATTTTCCTTAAAAATTGGACGGGAAAATGAAAAAATAATGAAAATATAATCGATGAAATTTTTTTTTAAATATACAATAGTAAAAAAAGGGGTATGAAAAAATATAAAGGTAGCCGAAAATGGGAAAAAAATATGCTATTATAAAAATAAACACTGAAAAATAAGCGGAAAAACTACAAAAGTAGGGGAAAATAGGAGAAAAATTCATTTAAAAAAAAATCCAAATAATAAAATATTGGCTTGAATAAATAAATAAAAGAGAAAACTGAAAAATATTAAGTTAAAATTAAAAAATATATTTTAAAATTATACAGAAAACGGGAAAAAATTTAATTATAGAAAATGTACAAAAGTAAGGGAGAAAAATCTAGTTAATTAAAAAAAAATATTCAAAAATCTGAAAAAAATAAGGCTGGTAGTAAATAACCAGCTAGTTTTGTTTTTTGTGTTTTGAAAAGAATCTAATTTTGATTTTAAAATATTATTCATATTTTAATTTTTTTAATCGCCATCTAAAATTATTAATATGCATTTAGAAATTATGCTTGATGTTGAACTTGAACTGAACCAGCTTTGAACCGAATCCGGCTTAGAATGTTAAACCGAACAGAACTTGTCATAAAAATTCATGTTCAAAGCAAAGACCTTCATGGTGACCAAGCCCGGCCCAGTCCTGCAGCTAAAAAATATTTTAGGCCCAAGCCCAGCCCATATTTAATGTTAAAAAAATTCCCAAGCCCGGCCCAAGCCCATGATATATTTCAAAATAATTTCCCAAACCCTAGCCAAGCCCATATCCAAAAATTTAATTTTTTTATTTAATGAAAATATACAATATTTAAATTGTTTACAATAGAGAAATTTATTATTATTAGAAGAAAAAAAGGCAATATTTCTTTAAATTAACAACTGTTTTAAATAATCTAAATCTAAATTTAATAATTTTAAACCCAAGCCCAGCCCAAGCCAAAATTTTAAAAATCCAGGCCCGGCCCGGCCGGCTAGAAAATATAATATTAGACCCATACCCGGCTCATGTACTGGGTATGGGCCTGCGGGCCATGGGCCGGCCCATGAAGGTCTCTGGTTCAAAGCCATGATTCCTATTAATTTTACTATTCAAATATCTGAAGACCAGGCCTGAAACCCGGCTATTAAAATAATCTAAATTTAAAGCAAATAAAAATGTTTAGTATTGATAAAGTCTGCAAAGATCGATATCAAGAACTGTCATCGGAAATTTTTTTTATAAAACCTCTTTTAATACATTCGACAATAGTTTATTAATAATTCATGAGTAATTTGGAGTAAACAAAAATTCTATTTAATGACTTTATGTTTTAGAAATTTTTAAATTTATTCAACCTTATTAAATCATATTCAAAGTGCACTACTAGATTTAAAAAATATATATTAGTAACAATTTAATTATTAGTATAGCCAATAAGAATATTCGGGACTTAATAAAAAAAATTAATATGTTTACATCTTCTGGTTTTAAATATAAGAATTTAGTCATTTGTTTAAAATTGCTAAAATTACAAGTAAATATAGTGTATTAAAATTTTAATTTATTAATAAATTTATTTATTAGTTATGCTCCATTAGACATAAATGATTTAAAATTAAATATTAGGTTGTTTGAAGATATTATATTATACTTATAAGGGTTTTTTAATTTTTTGATTTGACAATCAATCATATGTAGAAAGATCCTTTTCTTTTTTCAAAAGTTCTGAAACGATAGGAAAGACTAGTGTAAACCTTTGTGATTCCGAATTAGAACTCTATTATTCAAAAAATGTCAGATAGAGCACTCTAATGATGGATCCATGAATTGTTTTGCCACATTAAAAATAAAAAGTTATATTTAAATACTTGTCTAACTTTTAATAAATTGATATATTATTTTGCAATAATTTATTTTAAATTAAGTAATAAGCTAATAATTTTATATAAATTTTTTTATCTTTTTAGCTTGCACCTTTTCTGGTGGTAAGCTCCTTCAATATCTCTCTCCACTTTATGTTATTCATGCTAGAGATCTGCAAAAGTAGGCCATGCTCGGGGCTAATTTTTTAAAATCGGGTTCAGGCCGGCCTAATATATTTTAAAAATAAATTAAGGCCGGGTCGCGCCTTGGATATTTTTTAAAATATATTTAGATTTATCAATTTTATATTGAATTTTTTCTGTAAAATAAAAATATTAGATTTTATTTATAAAACTAGAAGCCATATAACATATGGCTTTGTGAGAAATTATAAAAATTAATTTCTATATTTAAATAAAATCAAGCTGGGCCGGGCTGGCAAAACTTTTTTAAAAAAATTTCGGGCCGGTCTTGAAAAATTAGGCCTGATGCAGATCACTAATTCATGCTATCTCTCTTATCTAATTTATATTTCTTCATATTGGCTCTAACTTTATGGCCCGAAGTTTGGCCTTCCTCTTTTACGTTTGCACATCACTTCCAAACTCTCAACCTTATTTCCTATATAGTTCATAGGCCTTTTCATTGTATGCCCATACCACCTAAGTCTGTTCATTATACTTCCTAGTACTCTTGTACTTCGCACCTTATCTTTTCTTGATACCCCAGCAATCATCCTCAGTAGTGTTGTTAAACGGCTCAATTTGAGCCGATTTTTAAAAACGGCTAACTCAACATTATAACCAAGAAAATATTGCCGAAGCTTCGAGGTTTTGCCAATAGATGTTCTTGGTTGTACTATGAAACTGTAAATTTTTCCTTTCAATTTGTGTGGGATTCTTTTGTCAAAGAGCACTCCAGATAAAGATCTCCACTTTAACCACCCTTGATTAATTTTACTCTTTATCTCTTTCTCTATAGTGCCGTTATATGGAGCCCAAATATTTGTAGCTTTCAATTGCCAATATCTGCCATTCATTTATATCTATGCTCTCTGTTTCATCTCCTCCTATTACCATATACTCCGTCTTTTCTCTGTTCACTTTTAGTCCGTGCTAAGATATTTATCCAACTCACTAACTTTTCTTCCATTTCATCCTTGGAATCTGCAAGTATCACAATATTTGAATTTTTTAAAGATCAAATAATTATAAGTAAAATAAATATGAACAATTTAGGTAAAAATTATGAATCATGCTAATATCGGATTCGATGAGGGAAAGGGTTGATAGGTGATCCTCGTATCAATACATTTAATATGCGTTTTATTAAATAAAAAAAAATCCAAATCTTAAGCGAGAACTAAAAAAAATATTATTTTTTTGCATCGTATCTAAATAAATCTCAAAAAATGTAATTCTTATAAACCAGGATCTGAAAATCCTGGCGAATAATTCGATCAAAAGCTGATTTTAAGTTATCATCCTTAACTTTTATATTTTCACGTGTCTATCTTCTTTTAAATTAATAGTTCAAACTCTTCAATATCAATTTCCTCCTCTGGATATCAAAATTCGAATGAGAGTTCTCAAATAGTAATAAAATTAAAGCTGTATACAATAAAAGTAATTTTTTAACCCTACATCAAAGTTTTCTTTTTAACTTTTACTTTTGGTTAGCTCTCATCTATTTATATGGAATTGTCCAACAAACATCTTAGAACATTGCATGGAAAATGGAGTAAAGTTAAGGAAAGGTAAAAAAAATAAGAGTGCTTTAGAGGTAGTTTTAAATACGTTTTTAGTTCTAGCAGGTATGGAGGCGATGTTGCTAGCTCGATAGGAGAGAGATTCGGGGACGACAAAGATAATAAATAAAACGTCGACTAAGGCTACTAAGCTCGCTACGGTAACCACGTAAGTTTCCCCTTTAACTTTGTGCAAATATGCGCCTATAGCTGGGCTGGTTATCAAACTAGCGGCAAACGTAGCAGATACCTAAATCATGTAAATTACGGAGTTGAGTAAAAGAAAAGATAATCATAATAAAATGTCGATGACGAATTAAATTTTAATATACCAATCCATATGATATTGCTCGATTTTCTTCGGTAGTAATATCGGAAACATACGCGAATACAATGGAAAAGGTCACTGATAATATACCGGATATTGAGATGAGAGCAAAAAACCACCTTGAATGTTTTAAACATTACAAATAATAGCTTTAATTAGGATTCAAGGTTTATACAAATAATATTTCATGTAAAATGTAATATATATTTTTCTAAACTTATTCTAAGTAAAATTTTATTATTTAAAAAAAAACTAGACTATTAAAACATCTATAAGATATTTAGTATATGTAATAAAACAAATATAATATTTGGTTAAAGTCCTAACCATGGGCTTATTCTCATGAGAGGAATAGGGCTACAGGTAAAAAATACTGTGAGAAATAAGAATGATTTTCTTCCCCAAACATCTGATAATGCTCCTATCATAGGTGCGCTGAAAAACGACAGTAGTCCCTATTGTATAATTTTTAAATCAATTGAATTATTTTTGTCACAATTACAATAAACATAATTATAAAAAAAATGTATTGACGTCAGGAGCGCCGAAAGAATAACTATTTAATTTTTTTAAGAGCGGACATTTTAGTCCTTTTATTTTTTTAAAATTAAGTGGGAGGGGGGGGGGATAATAGCTCAACTAAAAAAAATGTTCAACTAAAGAAAATTTTTCAATTGGATGAAATATATATAAAATTAAATAAGTATCCAAAGTAAAGATTAGGATTAAAGGATAAAGAGGTATGGGTGAGAGTTTTAAAGGTTTGACTATATGGTTAGGTTAAAATAAATAGAATATTTGATCAAAATTTAATCATTTATATAAATAACTTGTCAAATCTGATGTGATTCTAAATGGACGAATAGAAATTTTAATAAATCAGCTGTTATAACGGCAATTTTCTTTAATTGGACCATATTCAAATATTATTACTAATCGTCATATTATTTTATAATTTTTTTTAAATGGTATTTATTTATTAATGATATAGAATACTAGATGTAGACAGACTTTTCTTGAACCCAATTTGCCTTTCAGACCCCTCCCCAAGTCTATAACGCAAAAGTTCCCTCTAATGACTAAAATATAAATTGAGTTAGCGTAAGAAGTGTTCTCATCCTAGAATATTATTTCTTTATTATAGACATAATTTGTAAGAAGAGAATCTTGAAGATATATATTTAAATTGTACATGCACCAATAATTATTTTTAAAGAATAGTGATAAAAATTTTTAAAAATGTGCCTCTTTTTACATAATCCTAATACGTTTGAATGTGAAAAATTGAAAGACAAGTTGAACCAATATTTATTACTGTTGGATCCCTGATAATCCCTCTTAATAAATTTCAATACTATAGTTACAGAGTCCTAGCTAACAGATTCAAGGGGTAAATTTAAGCACGCGAAAAAAAAATTGGAAATAACTAAATGATAAGGGCTAACGTCGCCTTTGAGTTCAAAATGATATTTCGCAACATTTAAAAATTAATATATTTTATGTTTGAGATGATTGACGATAGTTAAATATAATTGGAAAAAAAAATATTTTAATTAATTTGATAAATGTTATAGAGAAATGGAAAGTTTGTTAAAAAAAATATATTCCCTTTACAAAGCCATTGATTTATAAAGTATAAATAATTTATTTAAATAATTAGATAGAAAAAAAAATACAATTAATTAGGTCAATAATAATTTATTTGCAAAATCATTTTTTTAAAGGGGAAAAACAGTGAATCAACAAATTTTTTTAACAAGAATGAGAATAGATAATAGGGAAGAAGTGTTCAGTGGCTGCCTGTATATTATATCTTTAAATTAAAAGAGAAATTAAAAGATATTTATGCTAATTTAACAATCGTTTTGATGTAGTATTAGCACTGTCAAAAATCAATAAATCTGATAAGTTAGTTAACTTTTGATAAAAAAAATTTAACTTATAAATTTATTATAACAAATTTCTTCGTTGACTGGAACAAGCAGTATATTCCGAAATAGTTTAGAACGTTCCGGAAAAAAATAACCATAAAACGCTAATTATATTCGTATTCTATGTATTTTATATGAACTGATAATTTATTAAATCTGTTATATATATATAAATTATTTGATGAAATCATCTATATAATCAATACATTATCAAAAATTATATGATAAATATAACCTTGAGCGTGGAGTGGAGTGGATATGTTTATATAAACTCTAACTTGGATAAAAGGAGAGACCAATATATTAAAACAAATATTTTGTCGGCTATAAAAAATCGATGATTGTCTGAATGAATCGAATACAAATTCGATCAACTGGCTAATAAATTTTAGTCACTCGTGCAGTCAAGTGAATGCTAAAGTGTACTTCCAGACTCAAATATAAATTAAAATTACAGTCTGGAATCGTAAAATATATACTTCGCATAGATGTCCATACTGACCAGCCAAACGGGTATTATATCCCTTCTTAAAAAATCCAAAATAGAACTCTTCCCTTTTATCGTTTAAATTCCCCGGATTAATGATGATAACGATACATCTATTTAAGCATACCAGTTGATATTATGAGTTATTATTAGAAAAATAATATGGTCAAAAATAATATCTAAAAAAAATCAACTATTTTTATCGAAGAAGCAAACTGATTTATGGCTAAACTAAAATATCAAGGCTCTCAACTAGATAGTTTAACTTATTTGATAATATTTATATAAACATCATACTATTTTTTATTGCCCAAAACCGGTACGCAAATATGGTCCTTAATTTTTAGAAATTCTGCTAATGGCTAATAGTCTAAGGATTATAAATAATTCACTTCCGCACAAAATTAGAATTTATGTAATAAATAAATTCTAAAATAATGATAATTTACGAGATAAAATTTAATCTTTACATAATTGGCTGAACTGGTAAGTATTCATTTTCGAGTGCGTTTTATAAAAATGAATATAAGTATTTCAAAAACATGTGTTAATTAACTATAAATAATTAGAAGAGATATTATATCAACCAATTAAATTTATGAAGAAGTTATAGATATATTTATTATAGCTTCCATTTATTTATATTTAATAATAAATCAGACAAAAATATTTCAAAATATTATAGTAAAATCTCCATGCCTTTCAATGGCAATTCATTTGTCAGTCAATATGTAAAGAAGGGTTGCTAGGAATTCTAATTTCAACTAACGAGGGATATGTCATTTCATTCTTGTTTCGCGGGTCTGTGACCGAGTTCAGTGTATGATATATTTAACTTTAATTAGCTCCTATACTATAGTGATAAAGAATTTAGTAGTCACTAACTTATTTAAACTTGGATCACACAATATTTATCATCTGGAACATAGGATATCATACACCGATGATATAGTCATAACAAAAAGATTTAGAGAAAACCCAAAATCTCATTAATATACTCTAATCCTTCAGTCATGAAGTAGGTCTGGAAGTAAAGTTTCAAAAACAGTAATGCTTCTATCACCTCATACACAAATATTAGGAAACTTTACAATCAATCAAGTCAGAAGCAGTCAAAGTAGTGAAAAAGTCAAATATCTCCGATTGTAAGTAGGAACTAAAACTTAGACAGAACGCTAGAGTCCCTTTTTACAAGTACTTCAAACTTTAACTAGGGATATATTGGTGTTCACAAGACCACTTAATTTCAACTCCACTATTATTCCTATCCTGTTATATGGAGGAGGCATATGGAAAATCAATAAAAAACGAATTGGGAAATTTCAAACCTTTATTAGCAAATGTTTAAGAATCATCAAAGGTGTCTTTCCAAATTATGGAAAGCGTCTAAACATATTCCAGTATATGTTATCCTTTAGCTATAATTATTAAATATCCTGACCATAACTAGGTCCATGGCTCTCTAACTTTGTTATACTTTTTAATAGAAAGATATATAAAAAGTATAAGACCTTCATGGACTGGGCTGGCCCAAAAAAAATATTGCAATTTTTCTCCTAATAATAATATGATTGCCTAAATACCGTAAAATATTGCTTATTATAATTAAATACAATAAATTAAATTTTTTGATATGGGCTTGAGTCTTGGGCAAAATTTTTGAAATTTATTATGGGCTTGGGCAAAGCTTGGGATTCTTAAATATTGTTAAATACTGTTTTAAACTAATTTACATTTTTGCCTTTAGGGTTATTTTTTTTTATTATAAAATAGTTTTTTTTTAAAGTCCCACTTTTGTTTAGATTTAATTATATTAAAATTAAAACATATGGTTTTTGTGTTTTTTTAACCAGAGGTTTATCATACTTTTGGATTCCTTACTAAGGTTTTCAAATTTTAAATTAGATATCTAGGTCCCTGAGATCGTCCTGAATTTGAAGGCATAATTAGAGTTAATAAAAGTATAGGGGGTTGGTTATTTCAAATTAGGTGGATAAAACTAACACAACTCCTCTTTGCAAAGTGTTATTTTTTTCACTTTGATCCAATTTTATTTTAATTTATAATTGCGCTTTTATTTTCCCTCTAAAATGGACTATGTTTATCTGAATCTTATAATTTAGTTTATAAATTTTTATAAATAATAAAATTTATTTTAACTTGATAAAATGTAGATAAAGTTTTTTTTAAAAAAAATTATTTGTCTATTTGATATTAAATATTATGCATTTTACTCTTGAGTTTTAAAAAGTAAGTTTAAAGATTAACATACAATGGCACACACACACTCACAAGGACGATTGGAGAGGTGCCTCTTTACTATACTACCCATAAATGAATCCCCGTTACTTGAAATAATAAATATAGATCAGAGCCTATAAAATTTTTTTTACTGCGGTCCTGGGTTGAGCCTGATCAATCCAGACCCATGAAGGTCTGCTTTATGGTTTTACAAAATGATAAAGGACAGGATGTAATTATAAATATAAAACAATTCCTAAAATTAAACAATAAAGATCAATAAAAAGTTATTTAAGGTTAACTCGTATCTTAATCCTAAATTTATTTCTCTTTTTAAAACCTACCCATATTACAAGTAGAAAAAAGAAAGGACATTTGGTTTGTTGAGTCCTATCTTTTACTTTATATATTCAATGTTCTGGGTGAGCAAATAAGGTGAAGATAACTTTCTAAATTATGGTCTCATTACACTATTACTTAGATTAAGTTATTGTACTCAGAAATTTGTTTTCTCTTACTTATTAATTGTCAAATTTTTTAAAATCAGCAGATCCCCTTCCATAATAATAAATCAGAAGTTCACAAGTGTGAGTAGATGTTATTTGTCCATTTTCTTTGCTCCAGCAGACAGTATTAAATAACCATTTTCAGACTGTTATGCATGCCTGCTATGTGTAGAGGGCTCCTCATTTAAAACTTCCTATAATTTCTTTTTAATAGCCAGCTTGATGGAAATAGGGATATCTAGTGTTGTTCTGTTGTATCCACAACATTAGAGGGAAATATGCTTTTATTGTATATCATATATTTTACATAAACCATATTCATATTCAAAATGTTAAGGCTAAATAAATAAGTGAAAATGGATAGAAGAGGTAAATAAATTTTAGAAAGAAGCCAACAATTCAATAAATTACAATCTATAGAATTAAATACAATATACAAATAATATTTTATTTAAAAATATTAAAATATCAAAAAATAAGTATTTTTGGATATAAAAATACAAGTATAAAAATATGAATGATTTCAAACATTTAGCCTTACAATTAAATATTAATAAAATATGAGTTTTAAACAATTATTTATTAGTAATTAATAATATATTGTTACTTTAAATAAAGTATATAATATTTTGTGCCCATATATTAATGTTTGTGTACAAAAAATAGTAATATAGCAAATATATTTAAAAATATATATATTTAAATTTGGAAACTTTATATAATTAATAAAATAAAATTTTGATCTGACATCAATTTACTTATTAAAATTATAAAATAAAAATATAAAAGTTATGCTTCTATAATACTTAACAAATAAATTTAAATAAATAAATATTAACTAAATTCAGGATCTGCTATTACTTATAAAATTTTTATGTTTACTATACCTTAATTCCTTGTATGATACCATTCATCAGGAAGGTATGATCAGGAAAAGTATCATTAAGAGCCTAGAAATATATTGACAAATATTAAGAATTTAAATAATGTACATTTATCATTGGCGAAGTTAAAAGTCCCCATGAAAAAAATTCTAAAAATATAATGATCAGGGCATGGTAAATTGAGGGCTCCCCAAAGCAAAACTAGGAAAATATATAACTATAATTTAGTTAAAATATTAAAACCTGTTCTTCTTTATTAGTTCTCTTTTTATAATTATGTGGGAAAAGTTTAAATAGCTTTTTATTTAACATCTGAGTTGCATGTTATAACAATTGTAGCAGAAAAAAAAGTTCAGCTGAATTATTTTCATGTGGCTTTGTATCGAAAAACCAGTATTTTTGCTCAGTTAGAAAAATAGCATTACACAATAAGTAGAATTTGATAAAAACAAAATATGCCATTAAATATTATATATTCTATAATATTTTTTTCAAAAAAGGTAAAATTAAAAGTTTGACTATCTAATTTTTATTATAATTTAGTTCGAATTATAAAAACCTAATGTTTTGTATGTGGGTTTTAATTTGAGATAATGTTGCAAATATTTTATTAATTCAAGTATATAAGTAGCTAATGGTCTAATTTAACTTGTAAAATTAAAATTATTTTATAAACCCATTTTAATTTCTTTTATTAAATATTTTTTAAAAATTCCTCATAAATAATAATCATATCAGTGGCATCAATAATCTCATAATGAATAATTTTACATTATCAAAAAAATATCTATTTTTATTATATAATTTATTCCCGACCAATCAACAATATTGTTGAATGACAGCTACCTTATAATCATCTATTAAAAATTACGCAATGCTAACAATTATAATTTTAAATAAATCTATTAATATTTATAAAAAAAATCTTTAACGCTATTTTTGGTTCTAGAAACAAATATATAAGTATTTTATTAAAAAACATTGAAATTTCTACAATTTCATTGATATAGACTATGTATGTATTAATTCTATTAAAATTACATTCGTGTTGTTAAAAGGCTCGATTTGAGCCGATTTTTAAAAACGGCTAACTCAATATTTTAGCCAGAAAAACATTAGGCAAGTCTGAAGATTTTGATCATAGATGGCACAAAAATTTGAACATCTATTAGCAAAATCTCGAAGCTTTTGCAATATTTTTCTGGCTAAAATATTGAGTTAGCTGTTTTTAAAAAATCGACTAGTTTAACAACACTAAATTACATATTAAAATATTTGAACCTAAGTTTTATAGATTTTTATTTTACATTTTTTAAAAAATCAAATCATCCAAAAATTAGATTACAAATATATAATATAATAATTAAGTTATTTGATTTTAATTATTATATCGATATTTAAAACACTCAATATAGTTTTAACATAAAATATATGGATTATATTTTACATTTTTTAAGTTCTTTTAAAGTCCCTAAAATTTTTACCATTAATATTTATAAAAAATATTAAATAAAAATTATAATAGTTTATAAATCAATATTATCGATAAGCCAAATTTGGCCAACTATTAATTTTTACTAGCATAATGAATAAAATAAATAAATTATCATGTTTTGAATTTTATTATATTTTATGCGAGAGAATAGTACATAGCCATAATTTCCAAATAGGGAAATGATGTTAAAATTTTACTTTTTTCCTCCCCTCTTTTTATTCCCTTTCCTTTCGCTTTCTTCTCTCTATTCTTCATACCTTTTTCCCCCTTTCTCTCCACTCCACATTTCGTTTTTTTTTCTCTTCTTATTTCCCCTTCTCATTTTTCTTTTCCATTTCCTTTCGTCCTTTCCTCATTGCTCTACCATTTTCTTTACCTACTTTCCCATTATCTCCTTATTTCCCTTTCCATTCGCTTTCCTCCTTCTTTCCACCATCATTTACCTTTCTTTTTTACTTTTCCTACCTTTCACTTTCATTCGTCAAAAATGGAACGCGTTCACGTTCAAAGTTCATAAAAAATAAAGGAAAGCCTGTCCATCATTTTCGTTTTCGAATGTACTCGTTTATAACATTACTTTAAAATAAAACATTTTTTTAAAAGTTTTGTGGCTGCATTGAGATATAAAATTTAACACTATATTTAATTTTTTTACATTTTATTTGAGTTTATTTTTGTAAATATTGATTTGCAGCGCAAATTATTGAAGGGAACATAAAATGATTCGTTAATGCTAGAAGAAAAAAATAGAAAAAATTGAAAGTTCTAGTCATTAAGTAAATTTAGTTTTAAACTTTCTACTGAACATAAGATAAACAATATAATTAATATATATCACCACTCTTTTATTATCAATGGTTATGACAAGTTTAATGTTAAAATTAATTTACTTTTTAACTAATTATTTAATATCCGAAAGAGGTAAAAAAAAATGTCTTTTTATACAATAACAATATCTCATAATAAAAGTTATCGAGTTTAAATTTCGTTTCTGTTCCAAATTTAACACAAATTTTTAACGAAATTGAAAGATTCGGCCGAAAATGCCATTTTTAATAATTTGACACGAAATCGTACTCATAAAAAGCGCTAAACAATTCTTTCTCCCCTGCTAATAGTCAGCTAAATTTAATGGGCATTTTTTAATTATTGTAATAACCTTCATTATTCGAATGAAGAAAACTCTCCAGAGCTGCGCTAGCATAATAATATTTTTTTATTATTTTAATTTTATTAGGTGTTTTTCGAGAACTTTAACTTATGTAATTTAGAATAACTAGTTTTTTTGTCATTCTTAAGAATAAAAATAGATAAATTAGAGGGAAAAAATTAGGTCTGCAATAACGCTTTATTATTTATAATAGTTAATATATATATTTTAAAAAATTTTTTAAATAATTTATGAACATCATAATTGCACTATAATTATTTAAAAAATTTAGTTTATATAATTTAAGTTTTTAAAAATACTTATTTTTAAGATACAATAAATAATTTATATATAAAAATAGTTGTAAAATATTTTGTTTGCTTTTAAAAATTTTTTCGCTTGATTAAATTCCTTTTTTGTCAGTTATAAGTCGCTTCTCATTATATAATGCTTTACAATCATCTATTACAAATCTAGTAATAAAAATATATGAAAATCATATTATATTAATATTAAATAATGTAACAATTTACTTAAAGCATTAAGATAATAAAGATATTCGCCCAAATAATTATATAATTTTAAAAAAATTTATTCCTAAAATTAAAATTATATTATATGACACCATCGAATAATGATAATGGAATATGATGCGATGATCATGTGCTCAAATCCCCGGCTGAGAACTTATGTTGACTAAATGATATAGTTACGCTTATGTTTTAATGAACATATGAAATAATTTCAAGAGAAAGCGAAAATCCTAGCATGGCATTGTTAAACCATTAAATATAGGAGCTTGTGATCGACAGTTCTTTTACAAATAACTCATTCTATGGGTAGAATAAGAAAACTTGCTGTCTCCTCCGAAAACTGAATACCCATAATAATCAGAGAACCAAAAATATTCTCTTCTATTTTTTATATAATTTAAATTAGCAAAAATATGACATTGTAATGAACGAATGTATATATTTTTTATGTAAATACTCGGTGGTGTAGAGGAAATGAATTCCGACATAGGGAGTTATCTCAGATTTAACATTTATTATTCACCATAAAAATAATTTATCATCAATAATATTATTTGTATTTTTTAAATTTTATAGGATTAAATAAAAAAACAATTCTTGAACAATAAATTTAAAAAAAAAGGATTTGGGTTCAGTAAAAACTAAAGAATTAAAAGAGTTCGGGTTACCCTACTCAAGCTAATTAACTAATCATATTCTTTGTCAAAATTCACATGCACACCTCATTTCTAACATTTATTACTGTACCAAATTTGAATGCTTTTTAAAATCAATAGGTCAAAACTACTAATGCAAAATTGCTCCACTCAAGCCGACTCTAAAACGGATTAGCCGAGTATTTGGGCTAGAGTAGGAGCTGAAAAGTCGGCTCAGTCTTGGTGCCCTAAAGAATGGTTATCTTGAAACGTGAGTCGAAAAAAATAAGTTCAACCTTAAACACAGAGCCAAAAATTGGCTTAACTTTGCAGCGCCAGCCGAAAAAATAGGTTCAGTCTTGAAGTGCAAGTAATAAAATAAATCAAAAAAAAATGTGAATAAATTATAAAAATCTCCAAAAATAATAAATAAATTACGAATAAAGGTGTGACCATTCCCTTACCTTGTAGAACAAGATGAAATTCAAGATTTCCTATGCTTCAGATAACATGGTAAATAATAAGTGGATCATGATATGATTGTGATATTAATATTTATTTATAGGAAATCGAGGAAAAGTATCAAACATCATTCATGGAAGAGTGCATAAGAATAACAGATTTCTTTCTTTCTTTCTAAAGGAACGGAATTTTCAGGCTTAGTGCACTGAGGGCACCCTTTAGGAATCACAAAACATGATTTAATATATTGATTTGAGATCTATATTAGAGCTTGTTATAGTCCGTTTGGGCTACATTGGTCAGATGCCTTTTATATTTTTATATTTCTAAAAAAAATGGGAAAATTCAACTATGTCTATTTGGATGGGGACTCAACTAAAATTCTTTACAAATTTTGAAGCAAGAAAAAAATTAATAAATACATTTATATTTCATTCACCTTAGGCACTGCACGACCCAGGGCCTAAATTTTTTTAAATATTTCGGGCCAGGATCAAGTCTAAAATTTAAAAAAAAGTCTAGAAAATAATACAGAAAATAATTTTTTCTTTAGATTTATCAAAAATGAAAATCATTATTTATTTGGATAAGGACAAGGTGATTAATGATAATTAGGGCTGTGCCGATATTAAATATCGAATCGGTACCGATATTAAGCGTTTTCCGAAAATATCATTTCGGGCCGATACCTGTAAAAAACCCGATCCGATCCGATCTTTTCACTTTTCATTTATTTTTTATTTTTTTTTGTTATTTTATTTTATGTATTTATTTTACATTATTATAATATTTTCTAAATAATTTTTTTAAATTTTATTTCTTTTTTAAAATAGATTTATAGTACTTTAAAAGTTTTTTTTATAAAAATAGAAAGGAACACCCAAAGTTTTATTTATTTATTTTAAATCTTTTTAAATAACGCCAATTTTTTTTTTTCTACTTATAAAAGAATTTTTTTAAATATGTATCTAAATTATGGAAATATTTTACAAAGACAAAAATAATTTTGCAAAATGCGTTATCTGCGGAATCATCTGAGTCTGCCTTCAGTACGGCAGGAGATATAGATAGTCCATATCGTAGAAGCTTATTCCCAGAAAATCTAGAGGCTCTCATATTTATTAAAAAAATCTAATATATTATAATTTTATATATTAAATATTACAATTTTATAATTCCAACATAAAATGGATATATTATTAAATATATATTTTATTATTATAGTCTTAATTGTAGAAATAAAAAATTAAATTAAATTCATAATTTGATTTTTTGCATAAAAAATATTGATTTCTTAATTACATTTGGTTCAAACGGGGGTGATTAAAAATAAGTAAAAATATTGGATCAGGGTTGAAGCAATATCGGAAATATCGGATCGGAGAAAATATGTGGATCGGCACAGCCCTAATGATAATCATTATTTATTTGTGATAAGGACAAGGTGATTAATGATTTTCTTTTTACCATATTTTACTTCACAATGGATCTAAGTTATATTTTTTAAATAAAAAAATTTAGGGCCGATATAATATTGGAAAGTACACTTATTTAAAAGTAATCTATTTGACTTTTTTTTCTCTAAAACCTACTTCTTTAAACAAATTAAACTACTAGATACCTTTTTTTTTAGCTAGAGTACTTCTTCAACATTACAATGAGCTAGGATTGGGTCTGAATTAAAAATTCAAACCAGATATGGCGTGATAATATATTTTTAAAATATAAGCTGGGATTGGCTGTAAAAAATTGAATTCATAGTCATGTTTCAAATTGTCAAGTTCTGAAGGTATATCAAACATATTACTCATGGTGGATTAGTGTGTTCTAATATTTAAAGGCCTTACTTGGTGAGCATTCAAGAGTCAGTGGGTGCTTAATCACTGTTTATCAAGACAGTGTTTATAACTTCCTTTCTCGCTCTTTACCTCATTTCTTATGGGTCAGGTTCTTACAGAATCAGTTTTTTTAATTATTCAGGTGAATCAATTATGGTAGGGTCCAGTACTGACATTCATTTTTAATAAATTGGTGATATTTTATCAAGCTCTTTTACTGTTAAAATTTCCCAAACTTAGTTGTTTGTCTTATTTACCATCTCCCTTAGCTTCTATTATAATTGATCTATTACTAAAGTATTTTTTAGGCTTATATTTTTTATTCATTTCATTTATGAGTTTTCTCTAGGTTTATTTAAAAAATTAGATGTCATTGTAGATTTAACTGTAGTTATATTTGATTCTCACATTTAATTCATTTTCTTTCACAAAATATGGTTCTGACAATTTAAGTTGTACCTTTGGTATTAAAAATATTAACATGCTGAAAAGAAGTAGTCCTTGACATAATTCTGCAAAGCTTTTATATTTGTATATTTTCTGCAATATCATTTTCCCATTTTTTTTTAAATTGTAATAATATATTAATTTCTTATAGGGTAAAAATATCATTTAGTTAAAAATTATACATAGATATATTGCCTTACTTGAACCATATAATTGGAAGTGGTAAAGAAAATAAATGCCATAAAGAATGAGCATCAATTAAATCCCAAAGTGGAGGAAAATCACCTAACTCTAATGGTAAAATTGCTTTGGCAATTATAACAGATAATATACATCGCCATACATATTTTCTAATGTTATATTCTTTTATGGCCCAAATTAACCATCCAAATGTTTCAAACAATCCTATAATAAAAATATAATGTTTAACTTTGATATAAGTTACCCAAGAATACATTGATTTTCATGTTGTATGAATAATCGAATTTTATATAAGTCATATAATATATATGATATAAATAAAGACTAGATAAACAAACACCAAATGTCACTGGTTTATATATTGGATACATTCCAAAAGCCCTAAGATTAATTATATCAAATAATATGAGATAAAATTACCTGAGTAAAAAGGTATAAGAAAAATAGCAATTAAGAAGTAAAGCAGAAAAGTAGTCTAATTTCTGATAATATAAAAGGTAAGATGATTTAAAAAAATAATTTAACTTCTGATATATGAGTATCGCGCATATGATAAATAGTTGAAGACATCCAGGTTAATAATGAAAGCTAAAAAAATTATTTAAAACATAACTTTTATAATTAAATTTACAATTCCATAAATTATCCAAATGACATAATATGGGGATAAAGAATGTGTATATTTAACAAACTGTCTTATCATGTAAGCATTTGTTAAAAAATTTAAAATTGAAAATACAAAAGATGCTGGATCCTGAATACCATAAATTCTTCTAAAAGGCCACTGAAATTATAAGTATTAAAAGTATTTTAAAAATTATATATTTACTTTGCCATAAAATTGAGGTATATCAATTTTTTTCTGTATACATTTAATTTTTACTCTATGCATACATATATATTTGCATTCATTTTCACAGCTCCATAGTAAAACTTTCATATACCAGGATTGTTTCTTATTGAATTTTTCAATTTCTAAATGTATTAATTAAAATTTCTAATTATGTAAATTCTACTTGAAGTGGTACATAATTGTTGAAAACATAGATAAGCGCATTTATTAAATGCAGGTAATTCATCTCCAGAGGATGCAAAAATGTCAGAAAAACAATACACATAAAATAATATAGAAAATATAAGGGGCGATAAAATCATATGGCCTCCCACCCCTTCAGAAATTATTTGAAGGTAAAAACTTACATCCTCGATAAATATAAAAAGAGCTACACACTAATAGTAATAATATATTCATATAACTATTATGGAAAGCTTATTTAAATAAAGTATTATATTCATAATTATATATTAAATCATCATTTTTCATATCCGCCATTTACATAAAAATGTTGGTTTACTACTTTTTATATGAAAAAAGTTATAAAAAAATGTTCAATCTTTATATTTTCTTAATCATTTTACTTATCTCATAATTTTTGTAAATTGAATATTTTATCAATCAGCTAGATATGGGATATGCAAAGTCCAAGTAGCATTCTATCGAAAATTTTGCAGGGTCTAGCCACATTTGGATAAAAGTTTAGATGATTTTTTTTTTTTATTAAATTTTTTTTAAAGTTTTTACATCACGATTATTTTGACTTATTGATATTTATTTTATATGAATATACAATTAAACTAATTCAATCATTTAAACAAAATGCAATCAAGTGCGTTGACACAAAATGAAGTAATTTATTTATATTTCTATCTTTATAAAATTATATTTTTATTTTATAGGAACTAATAAAACTAAGTCTAATAAAGAAATATAATATTGTTGTCCAAAATAAAATGCATGGTGAGATAGCTCTGTAAGAACATCCAATATAAGTTCAGATAACGTGAGAAACTTTATTCATGTTATGAAAAAAGCCACAAGCTCATCATTATATTGTATAAAACAAGAGTTGCGCAGTACCGCAAATACTTGTATCTAAGATACAAGAACCTTTGTATCTTGTACTCAGTATCTTTTTGACATTTTTATTAAAATGCTAGTATCTGTATCATCTAAGATCATTTATTCTGAAAAGAATCTTGTATCTTTTTCGATACAGATTCTTTTTAATATTCATGTTTAAATTATTTTCTTCGAGAATCTTGTATTAATTTCCTTATTTTTTTCACCATATTTTAAATATAATGACAATCAAAATTAGCTGGAAAATTTACAACTCATATTAAGGTTGATAGATAAAAAATAACAACACCAAAACGAAATAAGAATAGATTATTTTATATCAATTTTATTTAATATTTTTAATTTGTAGGATGATTAACACTCATGGTAGTGAAATTTAAATTATGGAAATAAGTTCCCGTTAATTAAATCCAAATCTTAGAATTTTATATGCAAAATTTTTTAAAAATCAAAGTTAAAAATGACAATGTATAGGCTAGATGTAAAACCTGTATAAACAAAAAAAATGATGAATAGTTAAGGACAAATTTTGTTAGGCTGAATTCATAGTGGAGACGGATCCGATTTCACGTCAAAATATCTAATTTGACGGCGTCCGACAAGGCTTTCATAGTGATTTTTTTTTAACATTTCGACTTAAAACAGATTAAACATTATTTTATTTTTAAATGAATCAAATTATATATTTTTTTTTCTCTTTAGCTTTCACCTTTTCTAGTGGTAAGCTCCTTCAACATCTCTCACCACTTTATGTTATTCATACAATTTCTTTTATCTAATTTATACTTCTTTATATTGGCTCTAACTTTATGGCCCCATTGAAGTTTTGGCCTTCCTCTTTTACGTTTGCCCATCACTTCCAAACTCTCAACTTTATTTCCTATGTAGTTCATAGGCCTTCTCATTGTGTGCCCATACCACCTAAGTCTGTTTACCATTAACTTAGTCTTAATGGGCACTACCTTTAAACTACTTAGTATTCTTGTACTGCTCACTTTATCCTTTCTTGTTACCCCAGCAATCATCCTAAGCATTCTCATCTCCATTGTTTGTAGACTTCTCTCGTCTGATTCTTTGGTTGGCCCTGTTTCCGAACTATATAGAATAGTTAGTTGTACTATGGAACTGTAAATTTTTCCCTTTAATTTGTGTGGGATTCTTTTGTCAGATAGCACTCCAGATAAAAATCTCCACTTTAAGCACCCTTGATTAATCTTACTCTTTATCTCTTTTTCTATAGTGCCGTTTGTTTGTATAGTGGAACCCAAATATTTGCAACTTTCAATTGCCGATATCTGCCATTCATTTATATCAATACTCTCTGTTTCATCTCCTCCTATCACCATATACTCCGTCTTTTCTCTATTTACTTTTAACCGTGCGTTTCTAGGATATTTATCCAACTCACTAATCTTTCTTTCATTTCATCCTTAGATTCGGCAAGTATCACAATATCCTATTCCACAGGACTGTTTGAGCTATAGACTGTGCTAATACATCTATTATTGTAATGAAGAGAAGTTGGCTGAGAGCCGACCCTTGATGAACTCCTTTAGCTATTGTGAAGCCTGCTGAAGTACCAATTGTGCTACGGACCCTTGTTGTATGGCCCATATACATATCCTGTATTATTCTTATATATTTTTCGGAAACATTTGTGGCGTAGCGTGCACCAGATAGGTTTTCTTGGGATTCTATCGAAGGCCTTTTCTAGATAGAGAAAGACCATGTGTTGTTGTTCTTTTCCCTGTATTTATTACTCATTTGCCTAATTGCGTGGATAGCATCGGTTGTCTTAAAGGCATAAAGCCAAACTGAGTCTCTCCTATTAATCTTTTTTTCTATTATTTTTTTGTATAGTTTTAGACAGTGTGACATTGTTTTATGCCCCTGTAATTTTGACAATTGTGTGGATCCCCTTTATTTTTGAAGATAGGAACTAGATAGCTCTGCCTCCATTTTTGGGGAACCTCTTCATTTCCAAGTATTTTATTGTACAGATTTGTGAGGAGATGTATTCCATCATCTCCTAGTGCTTTAAGACTTTCTATTGGAATATGGTCTGGACCCCTAGCTTTGTTGTTTATATGCTTGAGGCATGTGATTATTTCTTGTTCTGTTATAGGTTGTACAAGGTTTTGACATGGGGAGTGTTCGTCTAAATGTAGTATGTGGGGATTAAAGTTGAGAAGCTCCTGAAAATATTCTTTCCATCTATTCATTATCTCTTTTTCCTTTATTATCAATTTCCCATCTTTATTTTTGATTACTTTCGGAGCTCCGTTTATATCCCTACAGTTCTTTTCTCGCTGTTTGGCTAATCTGTATATTTTATTTTGCCCTTCGTATGCCATAGATTTGGCCCTAGCCACCGCCTTTGTAGCTATTTTCTTGGATTTTTTGTAATTAGTCTTGTCATCTGGGTTTTCGGATTTGTACCATTTTTTATATAGGGCTTTTTCGCCTTTATAGTGGTTTGTACTTCTTCATTCCACCACTGTAGTTCTTTGTATGATTTGTTGCCTTCCCTTGTCAAGCCTAGTGTCGATTTGGGAGTGTCTATTAATCTGGATGAAAAATCTGTCCACATTTTTTCACTGACTTGTGAGGAATATATTGTTCCAATATTTGCATTGATCTCAAAGGCATCTGTCATCAGTTTTATCTTGTTTTGAGTGGATTTATTTGAGATGTGCGATTAAATTATATATTATATATGATCTCAAAAATATAATTAATTATTTTAATAATATTGATATTTTAAACTAATATTTATTTATTCAAAATTTTGTATTATTAAATTCCTCTATACTATATTGGTATATATTTTATTTTAATAAAAAATTATCATTAGTCATCCAAGAACTTGTTCATAAAATCAATATTTGATACCAATTAACCATGTTTTTGTTTAAAAAATTCTTTAAAAAAATTTATACATAAATAAATATTGTCTGCTATTGTATTCAAATTAAATACTTGGTGAATGGGTAATATTAAGATTTATTAGAAATTGATACTCTGATTTTTTAATGTGTCATTTTTTAAAAATTAGTTTGTATAAGAAAAGCATTTACCTGAGATAATACTTAAAATGATATAATTATAGGTCAGGTTAAAGATCATAACCCAAATATAAAATTTATTCATTTAGCAATTATAATAATAAGCAATGAAGGAATAGGTGCTGAAGTTGATGATTGTTTATTTTATTTTAAATTAATAATTTAATTTCATATAATATATTTTAAAATTTTACATTTTTTTATCAAACATAAAAATCAGGTTTATATAACAATTTTCATATTAATATATCAAAATTTATATTAAAAAATCAATCTACACAATTTATAAAAAAATTAATTTATATTAACATAAAAAAAAACAATTTAAAGGTTATTATTAATCGGTCATATCAACATTCCACCCTTTAAAAAAAAATGATCTCCATTTAGGTTTTCTTGCATATGAATCTTATCGTGCAGTCTGTCATAGTTTCGTCTTGGAAAATGAGATTTATTTTGGTTGTGCATATGATTGTACAAGTCGTTCATAAGTCATTGTAGTCGTTGGCTTGATTCTATCACGTTGGTTTGTTAATATCGTTCTGAGTACGCTGGCTCGTCGTTCCGTCATTATCATTGTCAATTTTACAAAATTGTTATTATCATTAATTGTAAAATTATCATTATTAAATAGGATTTATGAATAATTAGAGAATCAATCAAATTTGGATGTTAGAATAATAAAAGGATGATAAATCAACAAGACTGTTAGATAGCGTTTTTTTTATTTTTTATAAATATCTTCAATTGTAGCGTTTTAATAATTTTTTATTAATATTAAATTTTAATTATTTTTATTTTAAATTTTACTCCCTTGTTTTTCAATATAAACAACTTTTTAATATCATAAATTATCTTTAATTTGTTCTTTCTAAAAAGAATTTTATTTCGCCTTCCATATCTAATATATGATTTCCATATCATATTCTTAAAAACTTTTTTAATTGTTTTGCATTTCACAGTTTTATTTAATTTTTTATCATTTATACAAGTTTTTATTTCATTATTTTCTTGGTTAATGATGCTTACTACCAAGTGAATGTATGGAAATATTCTAAATACCAACCTAATTTGCTAAATACCGACCAAAATTTATTAAAATGTAATAAGACCCTTATTATTTAATATATTAATAGTCGGGTCTCGTATATATTATCCCCCCAAGGATGGAACCACCAAGTTAGAATAAGAAAAAAAACATAAACATTCCAGGGATTCGAACCCGGGACCATGGTAAAGTAAGTCAAGCTCTTGCCTACTAAGCCTTAGAGGCTC